TTTTTAAAAATATCGCAATTTAATCGATTTAATGTAAATTGTTTCTTTATTTGGTAGTCTTTAATTTATATCAAATTTAAAAATCACAATAATTGATTTTTAATTTTGAGTAATTACTTTGTTTTACATTTTCTTTATGGAGTAGTGAATTTTTAATTTTTAATAATAATAATAATAATAATAATAATAATAAGAATAATAATTTAATTTCAGTCGAGCTTATTATTCTTGAAAAAAAAAGATACGTCATTTTTTAATGCCGTCGCCGGGAATCGAACTCCGGATTCTCATGTTTGAATCCTCAGACTATTTTCTCACGCTAAGACACTTTTTGGATGGGTCGTCTTTTTTAAAGAAAATTTTCATTTTATATTTCTTCTAATTTCAATCAATCAATATTTAACTATTTCTATCAATTATTAATAAAATAATTTAATTATGATTATATCAATAAAAATAAAAAATAAAAATTTTTAGAACTGAATTTAAGAAGAAATTAATTTCAAAAATAATTCATTGCATTCATTAAGAAGAAATAACAATGATATTTAGGTGAAAAAAAAAAAAGAAATTTTTGTTTTGAATTTCGCCGAGAATCAAGCCTCGCCGTATTCTCACGTTTGAATTCATAGAATTTTATCTCCCCCTAAGACATTCTTGAAATAAGTCGTTTTTTTTTTTTTTAATAAAAATTTGAATCATATTTCTTCAATTTTCAATCAATCAACATTTTATTGTTTCTATTAATTATTTTTAGAAAATTAATCATAATTATATTAATAAATTTAATATTAATAAGTGTAAAAGGAAAAATTTGTAATTTTTAAAGATTAGAAAAAATTAATTTAAAAATTTAAAAATACACTACATTGCATTCATTTAGAAGAAACAACGAAAATAAATTATTATGTTATTATAATTAATAATAATAATAATTCTTAAAAAAATAAGTAAAAATAGTCAATCATCTAAAAAATATAAAAAAAAATGCGACATAAACCTATACCGGGTTAATGGCCGCCGAAGAGTTTTGACTTAACTCTCTTTGACCTCGGGTAAGTTTAATAGCGGCATAAATTTATAATAAATCACTCACAAATAATACGACACCCGTCTATATATATTATATATTATCCCAGAATTTATTATTTATTGTATTTTATTATAATTAAATGCGGAATATCGAATGTCCATGGTCTGAGGATTGTTGTTCAATTTCAGCAATTCCAGTCATGCGATTTACCATGGGAGCAATCTTGGGATGTGGTTCATTTGCAGTTGACACGGAAGATCTGTGTATAAATAAATAAATAAATAATAATAATAAAATCCATTTGCACATTTAAATTGTCTCCGGTAACTTTATATATGTATATATATATATATATTGCATTACGGGGGTACTTGAGTGGAGGAGGAATTAAGAAAGCTGGATGTAAGGTCACTGCGTGAAAATAAATAAAACAACAAATGAAAATAAGGAGGCTTGCAAAATAGTTTCGAAGGCCGGTCATCGTCTTTTGTAGTGCTGTATTTTTTCAAGGACATTTTTAAACTATTTTTCACTACTTTAACAAAAGTAATTAATTTCATAATTGTTAAATTTTTATTTCTTTGAATAAATCAAAGAAGAAATATTAAAAAATCTATAAATTGAAACATAAGATGTAAAATAAAAAAAATTTTAAACCGTTTTTAAGTATATAAATTATTGGATATTATCATTGACGTAAAAAATTTACCATAAAATTAATTGAATTATAATTATTACAGTCATTAAAGGTAAAAACGTAAGGAGATAAAATTTCTGGGAAATGATACAATCGCAGAAGGAAATACTTGGACAGAACTAAAAATAAGCATAAAGGGAAGAAAATAAAAAATAAAAAGCTTACTCAACATTAACAGAGATTCAATAGGACGTAAATACATTCATTAACATATTAACTTATTCTCGAATCTTGCAATTTACCGGCTTATCGTTTCCTTGTATATTAAAGCCCCATAAAATCAGATGGTCCGAGTAAGTCCAATAAAATAAATAAATTTTAACATCCTGATTCGAGACGTTGCTTTGTTTACTTGGCGCCAAACATTTTCTTTGTTCCACTCGATTCAATCGAATGTTCATAGATATTCTGAAAAAAACAATCAGGGATTCATCAATACTGATAAAAATTACATTTTTAACTACGAACATTAAATCTTATCGAAAAAATTTAATGTAATAATTTTATTTAGAATTTTTAATTGATTGAGTAAAGACTAGTTATAAAAAATTTCAGTAAAAAATTTTTAATAATAATTTGTTGGAAAAAAATAGAAAAGTTCTTCTTTAAAGTAGCCGGGAATCGAACCTCGACCTCACATATTTAGATGTAATGAATTTTATTAAATTCATAATTTAATTAACTTTTTCTAACGCCACGATACTTTTTAATTGAATAATCATTCTTTATTAGAACTTTAATTATACTTACTATATTTATTTTTATTGTTCTTACGAATCACAAGAAAAAATTCATTATAATTATGATATTAATGTAAGTAAAAGTAAAAATTTTCAAATTTAAGAAATTAATTAAAAAATGAAGCAATTTGATGTATTTGTAAAGAAAAAAAAATAATAATTTGCAAGGAAAAAAAGGAACGTTTATTAATATTGTCCGGATTCAAATCCTGCCTTTCCACGGTTGATTTCACAGAATTTTACTTCTCGCCAAGACACTTTTCGAGGAATCATTTTGCGTCTTAAAGAAATTTATGTTTTATATTCCTTTAATATTTTAATTTTTATTGTTCCTATCAAATATTAATTATAATTATTATTATTTTGAAAATTGTAAAATTAAAAATTTTTTAATTTTGAATTTAAGAAAAAATTAATTAATAAAGTCTGATGAAAAATGGTTAACCGACAGGCCATTTCTGGAACTATCCCCTTTTTTTGAGCTTGAAACGCTCGAAAATCTTCCTATAGGTTAATTTTTGAGCTCTCCGAGCTCAAAAATTCAAAAGTTACATAAAAAAAAGAATTATTTAGAAAATTTGAAATGGCTATATAACTTTTGAACGCTTCGTTCGATTTTGACTTACTTGGCGACATTCGACGCAGTTTTTCAAGTTAAGAAGGTTTTTCGAATACTGGAGTTGATTAGTCAAGCATTTTGAAAGTTACTTACTTCAAAAAAATTAAAAAAAAAATTTTTTTTTTGTTTTTATTTTTTGAATATCTTTAAAACGGCTCGACCGATTGACTCCAAAATCTAATCAGCTCGAAGTCTCAATGAACACTTTTGAATGCCGTGTCGTTCACCTTGATTGGTTGATTCGTTCTCAAGATATCGTACGACAAAATTTTATTCACATACAAAAATACACACACGCACACACGGCCGGACGTCTAGCCGGAAATAGTCGCAACGGCTTCCTAGGATCTTAAAACGTGGAGATCTGAAAAAAACTCGCATTCTCAAAATCGGACCGAAATTTATAACTTCCTACTTTTGATTATTTATTAATTTTCAAAGCGGGAAATTTAAAATAATTTACTGATGCATTTATTAAGAAGAAATAATAACAATAATTTCGGAAAAAAATCGAAAAGTTTTTAATATCTCCGACAATCGAACCTCGTCTTTCCACGGTTGCATTTGCAGACTTTTGCCTCACGTTAAGACATTTTTTTCGTAATAAATTTTTATTTACCAAAAATTTATTTTTATATTTCTTCAAATTTGAAATTTGTATTATTTCTATAAATTATTAATTGAAATTTCATTACAGTTACGAGATTAATAAATGTGAAAGTAAACATTTTTAATTCTTAAATCTAAGAAGAAATAATAAAAAATTAATTTATTATAAAATCAAATCATCATTCTGAATCATTTCTTCACTGAAGAATTAATTAACAATCTATAATTCCAAACATTCAAGAAAAGCTAATTACTAAAATCCAATAAAAACCCGATTAATATAATTTCCAGAAAAATAACTAAAAAAAATTCCATGACTACCCAGCACCTACGTCACATAGATCGAACTCGTTATATTATAAATAGAAATAGAAATATAGGAAAAAATCCGCTGAATCAGAATCAGACTCTGGAATAGTTTAGTAAACTACGTAGCCGTCAAGACTTATACTTATTAGCTGTTACGACCAAAGTGGGAGAATAAATAAAAGTAAGCGTGATGGCACGGTATCCGCGGAAGTGGGGTAAAATGACAAACCAGAGCACCGAGCGTTGTCTGCTCACGACTACGACATACGATATTATTATTATTATTATTATTATCATTATAATACAGAATACAGAGTACAGAGTAAGAAGTAAGTCAGCACAGAATAAGAATAAGTGGGAGAAATAAAAGGCTTTAAGGTAAACCAACAGAGTGTATGGAGATGGAGAAGCCGCTTCCACATCCACGATCCAGCATCTTTGCTCCAGTACTCGGCTGCTTTTGGATCCCAGCGAACCTTTACTCGCGATCTGTCTTTCAAACTCTTTTCATTTTCTACCTTTTTTTTTGTTGTTTTTTTTTTTTTCTTTATTGACATTGAGCAATCCCGGATACGCGGTCATGAGATCAGGAACCGCGGAGGCTCACTTTGCCGAAGATAATTAATATTTATTCATTTTTAACACGTTTTTTCGGATTTTCACCATGTGAAATTTTAATTGTGGATTAATTATAATTGTATCCGACATTAAGTGTCAAGTTGTTGAAAAGTGTCTACAGAGGTAGTGATAAAGTCTCAGCTTTCGAGTATTTTATTAAATACTCTGTATATTAATAAAAAACAAATTAAATTAATGTATCATTAAGTCAAGGCCGCTAAATAATGATTAATTATTATGAATTATGATAATCACAATGTGTAAATTGTTAGATGCGTAAATTAATGTGCGGTAATTAATTAATTATAATAAGACTTATAGGAAGGATTTAAATTATTATGTAACTGATGATTATTCACCTGAGAAACTCCGACGATGTCTTCGAAGAAATCTCCTGCACAGCGGAAATTGTCCTCGAAAGGTGACCCCAAGAAATTAAACGGCAATTGCAAGGGAGAAAAAGTTGAGAGATGCAGGGGAAGGTGCAGGGTCCAGTGGAGCGAGAAGCATGTCAAAGAAGGTCTGGTGCTGGTCCAGGAAACTCAGCTGGCTAGAGTTGTCAAGACTGGACCTATTGCTGAACATTATGAAATCGATCCTAAGCCATTTGCGAGGTTTGTTTTTTTTTTTTTATAGTATAATTTTATAATTTTTTTTTTTCCTACCGTGACACGACTCATGGTAGGAAGCATCATGAAGAGCATCTTAAAATATTTCTTATCATTTAGCCAGAATTTCAATTTAAAATTTGATTTCAATCGTCTCAGAGTAGTTCACGTATTTACTAACTTTGAAATCTAAATTCTGGTCTAAATATTCAAGATACGAAAAAATTAGAAGATACCTTTATTGTATAAGGAATTTTATTTTCTATAAAAATTGTCCTTATCAGTTTTCCGGTATCTTTTAGTCAGAATTAGAACTCTATAACTGATATCTTCAGTTTTAAGAAGAGGCTCTAGAGGAAAAAATACAAATTCTTGGTTCGCCGCTAGAAGAAAAGTTTTACCAGAGTATATATAAAGCCAGGACTTTTCTTGAATCTGTTAGACTATTACGTGGCTTTTGACCGAATGTTTTATATGATAAAAATTTTATAAATTCGAGGTAATAATAACTTGATCGAATTATTTTCCGTTTTTAATCTAAAAATCTTTAAATTTCGATTGAAATGGAGTTCTTTGATAAAGTTTCGTTTCCAAATTTTTTACTTCCTTGACTTAATTTTGGACATATAAGTCCGATTATACTTGAATGAATCTACATTACACAAATCAAATTAAGAAAAATTGAGTTTTAAAAAATTCTAGGTGCGTAATATAACCCCTTAATTTTTATTAGTTCTAATTTTTTTCTCCGAATTGAGGTTTTGATTAAGGAAATTATTTACCTCGTTTAACCAAAGAAGGAAATTTTTAATTAATTTTTTTTAATTTTTTTGGACAATTTATATGAATTTCCTTCAATTTATAGTGTGTTGAATAATGACCTTGACTTTCTTTAGAATATTTAAATTTTTAGTTTCTATTGAAGATATCTATCAATTTTATAATACAGTTTTAAAATGATGAAGAAATATTAACTAAAGCTCAAAAAATTAATAAACAAACTGATTTATCAATATGATTGATTGATGAACTTAATATGAGTCGAAAAATAAATGAAAATAAAATTCAATAAGACAAGATTAGTTTTGATTGGGGAAATTATTTACTTCGTTTAACCAAAGAAGAAATTTTTATTTCTTCCTCTATAATTTTATTAAAATTCTTTTCGACAATCCACGTGGATTATCGTTGATTTATTGTATGTTGAATAATGTTCTTGACTTTGTTCAGAATATTTGATTAAGTTATTAATTCGTGACTCCGAATAATTGACGGTTAGCTAAGATAGTGACAATGAAAAGGTAGTGTAGGAGTTACAATAACAAATTTTTAAGGTCGTTGACGTCATTGTTCTCGTAATAATCGAATTCCACCAACGCAATGACCTGAGGATGTTAATGAAATCTAAATATTATGATTTTAATAATAGTTTAATAAATATTTATGATAATGATAATGGGTGTTTTTTCAGAATTATTTACCTCTAGTCTGGAAACTCGAAATTTATTCACCCATTAGTTTAGCATCATTATGAAGTATGACAATTTTAATCAATTTCTAGTCATATTTGTCCATTAGACATTTATTAATATTCCAGATGATAAATGATAATTAGAGTATTTTGATTTGCGTTGGCGTGATTTAAATACGTCATTTTTAATTGAGACAGGTCAGAACCTAAAAAAAATAATTAATTATTAATTTATTCAATTATTCAATAACTGGTTAATTATAAATTTTTCATGCTACTAAAATTAACAGACATCTGACAGTTTTTATAATTTTTAAAAATTAATTTTTGTGAAAAAATAAGACACTATGCAAATTTTTAAAAATATTTTAATTCTAAAATTTATTCTCTAAATTATTTTAAACTTTCATTTCGAAACTTTTTTTATTCAAATTCTTCCGACATTCAAAAATATGATATAAAAAATTTATAAAATAAAAATGGGGGTTTAGGATCAAAGATACGAAAAAAATGTACAAAAAATGTACCTTTTTTGTAGAAAATTTAACCCCCTGCAAAAAGGTCCTTATAATTTTTTCAGTATTTTTTATCATTCAGCCAAAATTTTATTTCAAAATTCAATTTTATAAACCCGTGATTAGATTGAGTGTTGATGAGTTATTAAATCAAAATTTTGGGTTAAATATTAAAGACACGAAAAAATAAGAAACTTTTGTTGTAGAAAATTCAATTTTCTTTAAAAATGGTCCCTTTCAATTTCTCCGTATCTCATACAATTTAGCCAGAATTTCATTTAAAAATTCAATTTTATAACTGCTTGACTAAATACATCTTTACATATCGATGTTCTAATTAGCAAATCGTCTAACTCCATTTTAGAAAATCTTCCATTAGTAAGAAAAAACAATTACTTCAAAATTTATTATCTCTTTAAAAAACAATTTAATATCTAATAGAGGTATAATATTTTGGTTTAGATCATTAAAGTAATTTACAATCGGACTATTGCTACATCAAAATGTTAAAAAATCACCCTCTAAAAAATAAGGAGGTACCCATTGCTAATTAGACCGTCGATATTTAAAATTCACAATTCTGAGTTTAATATTAGAAATACGAGAAAATCATAAGATAATTTAATTATCTAAAAAAAAAGTTTCTATCAATTTTTCCATATTGTACATCCTTTCATTAAAAAGTACTAAGCAATAATCGTAATTTTCCAATCAAATGATATTAATAAATTTTGTAAAAACAGTTTTTTCCAATAAATTAAAACCCAAAATTTATAAAATTAGAAACATTTATCTAAAAAGTATTGCTAGAAAGAAAAAATCAATTTTTAACTTAAAATCAATAAATTACAACAATTAAACGAAATGATCAAAATGATAAAACGCTTGACTAATTTGAAATGAGCTTGAATGTTTACAACCGTGAAGACAGTGCGTATTAATTTAAAACAATTAATCTTCCCAGTAATTAAATAACCCGATAAATATTCCCGGGTTAATAAATTAATCCAGCACTCGACATTAAAAAAAAACAATCAATTAGCAACAAAATTTGGATGAAGAGAGGCGTGAATCTTAAATCAAGTCCTTTTATGGATCAGCTATTAATTTTGTTATGAATTTTCGAAGCCTAAATTAAAAAAATGAAATCGTATTAAAAATTATATTATTAATTTTTTACAGTTTAAAGGTCGAGGGTAAAAATTTGAATAAATTGATTACGATCGGTATCCGAAGGGAATTATATTTTTATTTAAGATGATTTAAAAATATTTAATAAAATAAAATATGATCCATAGCCTTGTCAGGCGCCGCGGCGCTGACCTTGTAAGCCTTTAAATATATAAGACGTTTTTTAGTTGAGAGTCATATGATATTAAGAAATAAATAATAATATTTGAATTTATGTACTCACTCGACAATCAATCATGCTGCATTATTTATCATTATTAATATTGTTAGTTTTGTAATTTAAAATAAAATGATTGTTATTTTTTGCAGCGGCCAGTGGGCAAAAGTTTATCGTTGCCGATCAAGATCAACCGGTACTTTATATGCTGCGAAGTATTCATCAAGAACACGCTTCAATACTGATTGTAGTGCTGAGCTCCGTCATGAAATCGCATTATTGTCTCTTTGCTCACAGTCACCACGTGTTGTACGTCTCCATGATGTTTATGAAACTCCCAAGGAAATTATTTTAGTTATGGAATAGTAAGTTGTTTATTTTTTTTTTTTTTTATTTATTTATTTATCAATTGTTTAATAATGATTATAATTTTTTAAATTGAATTTTAGATATTTTTAATTATTAAATAAGAATTTATGTTGATAATTTGAATGCTTTCATTGCTTTTAAAACACTGATCAAATAAGGAGTGGTTAAGAAGAAGAATATCTACAGTAAAAAATTAAATATTCAATATATTCAAATGTAAATTTAACACTATTTTTTTTAACGCAATGATGCAAAATTTTTTACTGTGTATTGACAATTACTGATAAGAAATATTTATATAAAAGATGGATTCAAAGTTAATGAATTAATCAATAGTTAATAATATTTATTATAATTTTAGGTATTTTTGATTCTAAGTTAGGAATTTATCTTGATAATTTGAACGCTTTCATTTTTGTCAAACAATAGTTCAAAGCAAAGAGATTGGGAAGAAGAATATGTTGACAATGACAATTTTAATGATAATGATATTGACAATAATCATTGGAATACGAGAAATGAAATCAAAATTAATGAATTCATAAGAAATTAAAAATTTTTAAATAAATTTTTAGTGTTTTTAATGAAAAAATAAGAAATTATGTTAATAATTTAAATGCTTTCATTGTTTTGAAACAATGGTCACATATGGATTTTATATGAAATTAAATTTGGTAGATTAATGAGTAGTTAACAATATTGAATATGATTTTCGGTATTTTTAATAAAAATACATGAATCTCTATGTTCATAATTCAAACGTTTTTATTGTTTCAATGCAAAAAAGTTAGAAAGAAGACTATGTTAACATTGACAATGTCAATGATATTGATAATGACTAGTGACGAATATTTGTAAAAAAAATATAATTAAATTTGTGGATTCATGAGTAATTATCAATATTTAACTAAATTTGAGGTATTTTTAATAACAAAATACGAATTAATGAAAATAATTTGAACACTTTTATTGTTTTTAAACAATGAGACTAGTAAGAAAGGAGAATGTCTCAATAATAACAATAACGATGACTATATTATGATATTGAGGGTAACTAGTGAAGAATATTCGTGCAAGAAATATATAATTCAATTTTGTAAATTAATGAGTAGTTAACAATATTAAACTAAATTTAAAGTACTTTTGATTATAAATTATGAATTAATATTAATGATTTGAGCGTTTTTATTATTTTCAACAATTTCAAAGAAATTATGAAGAAGAATATATTGACAATGAAAATTTTGATTTTAATGATATTAACTATAACTTAAGTAAAGAATATGTTTTACCTAATAAATATTAAGAAAAAAAGTAACTTGATTAAAAAAAAAAGTTTTTAAAAATTCCATTGTTCTTTAATTCAATTTTCTTAATTAAAATTGCCAAATTTAATCAATACACTATGAGAAAAAATGGACATATTTTAGTGACAAGTAATTAATTTTTTGCAAATTTTAAACAATTTTATTTTTTAGCTGAAGAAATAAAAATTTTTCTCACAGTGACTCGTTGAAAGAAATTTTTCTAGATTTGGAAAAAAATAATTAAGAAATAAAAATTTTTCTCACAGTGACTCGTTGAAAGAAATTTTTCTAGATTTGGAAAAAAATAATTTTAGGAAGCCAACTCGTGAATTTTCATCAAAAATGATTTTGGACCAAATCTAGAAAATTTTTTTTCAATAAGAAAGTTACTATGAGAAAAATTTTTATTTCTTCACGTAAGAAATAAAATTGTTCACTTTTTTAAAAAGAAATGTTTTCTCTCAGTGTACATAAAACTTTTAGATTAAACATAGAAATATCTTCAGAAGAATTTTTTTCTAATAGGAAATTTATTGTTTTTAACGAAAAAGTTTTATATAAATGTATTAATCAACACAAATAACTAATCTAATATTTTTCGTAAAAAAAAATTAATCAAAAAAGACGAATGTAAAAAACAGACTAACAAAGAAAATAAATAAGAATTATCAAAATTTTCGACTGAAAGAGTTAAAATAAATGAATTTTTGATTTTTCAGTGCACCAGGTGGTGACTTACAAACGCTAATAGACGGTGACTTAGTGCCACTAGAAGGAGACGTAGTACATTTTGTAAAACAGCTGGTAGAAGGACTCGCCTACCTCCACGAGAGAAATATCGCTCATTTGGATATCAAGGTAAGACACAGTAGGTAACACAATGTGTGTAAGGTGTAAGATGACCATTCCTATCCGGTCAGCTCAAGACAAACTTCTACACACGTGAAAGGTGTTTAAATATGAATAAACAAGACACTTTGCTTATATTATCATTAACATCGACTTCATTATTTTCAATAAAATCACTCGCAATAATAATAATAATAATAATAATAATAAGATTTAATTAGATGAGCCTAAAGGATATTAAATTCCCTTTAAATTGATTAGTCACATCACTATATTGCCTTAAAAATATTAACCCGCGAAAAACCGCGAAATCGAAAAAAGATGAAAATAATAATTGTTTTTTTTTAATATTCTATAGATTTTTTTATTATATTATTGATGATTGATAATTATGAATCTATATTTAAAATAATAATAATAATAATAATTTTTAATTTGACGATAATTGTTGACAACAGAAACCAGTTTGTTGAAAATAATAATAATTTATCTAATTATTTTTTACTTTATAAAAATAATACGACGATGTCTTTTCTTTGTCAGTGAATTAAAAAAAAAATATTATATTAATAATTCATATCTTGATATCAAGCTCACTTAGTTATTTACTGGGACATTAAAAAGACGGGTTATTAATTTCCGTGTTTGTATTTTGATTTTACGACTCAGATCCAACAATCAAGGATAGGTTGTTGTCTTGCTGAGCGACCATACTGTGCGTGGTGGCTTTTAAAGTAACATAGAATTTAATTACCACCCGGACTCTTTACTGGTTACTGTTTACTGTTTAATGTTCTTATTCATTGTCGCTCGCTTTGTTTATTTCTTATTTTTTGTAAGCATGCTTTTAGTTTAAAAAATTAAAAACAAGTTAAAGAGTGACGACGCGGACGCGATGCTGCGATAACGAGGGAAACAAATTCTATTTCCATTTACAGAACCTTACTGAAGACAAAGGAGCTTATTCATTAGTTTAATTAATTATAATTTACAATTATTCTGACTAATTTTTAGTTTAGTAATTGCTTGTCAATTATTTTTATTAATTGCTGGTGAAAAATTGAAGAATTAATTAATTCGTAGTTTTTTAAAGTATGGTGATTTTTAGCAGGTGAAGAAATATTGATACTTACTTAGATAAACGAAGAAAGGGATCATAGTCATTAAGAATTATTAAATCAAAATCAAAGAAGCATAGATTCTATTTTTTTTTAAATCAATTGGAAATTATCTAATCTTAAAAATCTGGGTTAATAGACCAGGGTAGATAATTTTTGAAACCAAAAAAAATTACAGTAGGATGAAACCCATTAGAAAAGAAGGGGAATATGATCAAAATGAGAGGAAAAATAAATTACGGTCGATCCGAGTTCGGGAAGTGGGAGGGGGTGAGTTTTTAAGGGTAAAAAATGGTTTATCTTGATTTCCGGCAAAACTACAAGTCCTATGGAAAAAAATTAAATGGCAAAGTTGTAGGCAATAAAAAGATCTACAACTTTTGTATTGCAATTTTTTCACATAACCTCCAAATTTAGGTGAAAAATTCAAAAAACCAAGTTTTTGGTTTTTTATTTATATCTTTTTCAAAAAAATTTTTTTTTCTACGAAATTTGGTGAAAACTTACCTTATTATGTCCCAAATACACTGTAATTTATTTGATTAAAAATATTTATTTTTTCGCTTTATTTTAACTTAATATCAAAAAAGCACCCTAGTTTTCAATCGAAAATTCTGACGTCAAAATATCAGCTTTTTCCAAAAAGTTTGGGGGCTTTTTGTTCGTTGAAATATCTACTTTTTGATGGTGCAAAAAAAAATATACATTACTATAGGAAATGTTATCAGAAAATGCAAAAAATTAAAAAAAAACACAAATTCGAAAATTTTTTTTTAATCATTATGTACAATTTTGAGGTATTTATTAAAATTTACACTTTAATTACTCAAAAAACGTAAGATTTCATGTTTTATTGATAAACGAAAAAATTGCAAATTAAAATATATTTCTATAATTAACAAACAAATAAGTTAATAAAGTTAATATTTAATAAGACATCTACAATATTTTGAAAAAGTTGTAGAATCTTCTTCACATAATATTTGTAGATGCCTATTTAATGCTGTTTTGAGATAATTTATATACCTGAGTGACCTACGGTAAATTTTAGCCCATTGTAAAGTATTTCATAGAGAAATAGGGACGGACCTAGGAGGCTCTGGGCCTTACAACATACCTGCTATTTTAGGTAGCTCAAAATTACAATTTATCTGTTATTTTAAGCTCTTCGAGCTTAAAAAGATAGTTTTTCTATGCTTTTGAGCTCTTCGAACTCAAAAGTCTGATAGAAGTTTCATAGAGCAATATTTTTTTAATTTTCAAACTGCACTAACTTTTTAATGGATCAACCGATTTTCACGCGGTTGGCAGCATTTGACGCAATTTAGAACGCCGTTTAGTAGATTCCGATCGGTTTAGTCGTTCAAAAGTTATAAGCGAGTCACATAGTCACACACATACACACAAAAGCATAGAAAAGCAATCTTTTTAAGCTCGAAGAGCTTAAAATAACACATAAATTGTAATTCTGAGCTCGAAGAGCTCAAAAATATCATTAATGCAATCTTAAGCACCTAGGTATGGAATTAGTGGGAAGTTGCACGGATGGCCTTCAGAGTTTACCGTTTTTCTAATTTTTTTATATTTTTAACTTCCCGCTAAAAATTTCAGATTTTCAAAAATCGGGAAGTTGTTGTTTTCACCCCGTTTTACAAAAATCGAGTTTTCATCAGATCTCGACGTTTGAAGGTCACAGGAAGTTTCCCTGACTATTTTTACGATGATGTCCGTACGTCTGTATGTATGTGTGTGTGTCTAAACCCCTTTCTCTTCTATCCTCTGATCCCCCATGGTACCGCCGTAAGGCATTTCGTGTGTGTGTGTGTGTGTGTGTGTGTGTGTGTGTGTGTGTGTGTGTGTGTGTGTGTGTGTGTGTGTGTGTGTATGTATGTATGTATGTATGTATGTAAACCTCTTGTAACTTTTGAACGAATTGACCGATTTCATCGCGGTTGATGTCATTCGAAAGGGCTTCACTAAACTTAGATTTCCTGAAAATTTGAACCGATTCGGACCGGTAGATTTCGAGAAAATGCAAAAAAAGTGAAAAAAAAAGTTTTTTTTTTTTTTTATTTTTTTCGAATATCTCCGAATTGGCTGAACCGATCGGTCTCAAAAACTAATCAGCTCTTAACCTTGAAAACCCCCATCGATCGCCACCAAAAACGTTAGAATCGGTTGATGCGTTCGTGAGATATCGTTGTCGAAAAAAATCGAAAAAAGTGTTTTTTTGTAATAACTTCGAAATTCATGGCTCGATCGATTTAAAATTGAAAATTTTTCATGGAACTTCAAAAACTGCGTCGATTGCCGCCAACCGCGTGAAAATCGGTTCATTCATTCAAAAGTTATTGCCGTTTGAAAACTCAAAAAATTGTGTCTTTAAACTGCTATTAGAGTTTTGAGCTCGAAGAGCTCAAATCGACACAAAAATAATATTTTTGAGCTCGAAGAGCTCAAAAAAAACGTAAAGTGTAGTTTGAAGCGTTTAAGTACAAAATGAGCGGGAAGTTGCAGGGATGGCCTGTAGGGTGAACCGTATTTCTAATTTTTTTTACTTGCATCTTTCTTGTAAAAAACATCCGTCAAATTTGACAAATTTTTCGCGTCTAATAATAAATTAACGACACTTTTCTTTCCTTTTCCGGCAAATTCAGATGTTGTATCGCAACAAAATAGCAGGTATGTTGTAAGGCCTAGACCCTCCTAGGTCCGTCCCCACTTCTCTATGAAATACTTTACAATGGGCTAAAATTTACCGTAGGTCACTCAGGTATATAAATTATCTCAAAACAGCATTAAATAGGCATCTACATTTAATTTGCAATTTTTTCGTTTATCAATAAAACATGAAATCTTACGTTTTTTGAGTAATTAAAGTGTAAATTTTAATAAATACCTCAAAATTGTACATAATGATTAAAAAAAAATTTTCGAATTTGAGTTTTTTTTCAATTTTTTGCATTTTCTGATAACATTTCCTATAGTAATGTATATTTTTTTTTACACAATCAGAAAGTAGATATTTCAACGAATCAAAAGCCCCCAAATTTTTTGGAAAAAGCTGATATTTTGACGTCAGAATTTTCGATTGAAAATTAGGGTGCTTTTTTGATATTAAGTTAAAATGAAGCGAAAAAATAAATATTTTTAATCAAATAAATTACAGTGTATTTGGGACATAATAAGGTAAGTTTTCACCAAATTTCGTAGAAAAAAAAAATTTTTTTGAAAAAGATATAAATAAAAAACCAAAAACTTGGTTTTTTGAATTTTTCACCTAAATTTGGAGGTTATGTGAAAAAATTGCAAATACAAAAGTTGTAGATCTTTTTATTGCCTACAACTTTGCCATTTAATTTTTTTCCATAGGACTTGTAGTTTTGCCGGAAATCAAGATAAACCATTTTTTACCCTTAAAAACTCACCCCCTCCCACTTCCCGAACTCGGATCGAACGTAATTTATGTTTCCTCTCATTTTGATCATATTCCCCTGCTTTTCTAATGGGTTTCATCCTACTGTAATTTTTTTTCATTTTTTACCATTTTTGTAGGCATTGACCCTGGTCTATAAATACTAAAAATATGCAAAAATCATAAGAAACCTTTCGTGAAAGAAATTTTATTTTCTACCAAAAGCTCTTATCAATTTTCATCTATTTCTTATCATTTAGCCAGAATTTCAATTTAAAATTTGATTTCAATCGTCTCAGAGTAGTTCACGTATTTAGAAACTTTGAAATCTAAATTCTGGTCTAAATACGCAAGATATGAAAAAATTAAAAGATACCTTTATTGTAGGGAATTTTATTTTCTATAAAACTGGTCCTTATCAGTTTACCTGTATGTCATCTTTCAGACAGAATTAGAACTGATATCTTCAATTTTAAGAAGAGGCTCTAGTGGAAAAAATACAAATTCTTGGTTCGCCGCTAGAAGAAAAATTTTTCCAGAGTATATGTAAAGCCAGAACTTTTCTTGAGTCTTTTAGATCATCACGCGGCTTTTGACCGATTGTTTTATGATAAAAATCTTTTAAATTCAAAGTAATAGTCACTCGATCGAATTATTTTCCGATTTTGATCTAAAAATCCTTAAATTTCGATTGAAATCGAGTTTATTGATAAAGTCTCTAGTTTCCAAATTTTTTACTTCCGTGACTTAATTTTGAAAATAAAAGTAAGATTATACTTAAATATATCTACATTACAAAAATCAAATTAAGAAAAATTGAGTTTTAAAAAATTCTAAGGTATAACCCTTTAATTATTTTTAGTTCTAATCTTTTGTCTGAATTGAGGTTTTGATTAAGGAAATTATTTACCTCGTTTAACTGAAGAATAAATTCTTATTTCTTCCTCTACAATTTTTAAAAAATTCTTTCGGACAATCTACTTGGATTATTGTTGATTTATTGTACGTTGAATAATGTCCTTGACATTATTTAGAATATTAAAATTTTTATATTCTATTGAAGATATCTATCAACTTTATAATCCATTTTTTAAATGTTGAAGAAATATTAATTAATTAAAGATCATCAAATTAATAAACAAACGAATGCGTCAATATGATTGATCGGTGTACTAAATATGAGTCGAAAAATAAATGAAATAAAATTTAATAGGACAGTATGTCGAACGATTACTGAATATATAGTACTTTAAGTTAGTGACACAGGACACCATATACGATTTATGGTAAGCCTGGGGTTACAAGTCACACTTAACTTGTAAGTTCCACATCGTCATTGGCAATGCTGCTTCTGCAAGTTTAACCTGCTACTGCTGCTGCTACAAAAAACATAATCACCATTACAACTCCAACATTAAAATATATATATACTTCGACGTGATACCCATTTTGGTTAAGACCGATTACCGTTTTATCTCGACAAATAAACGACAGACAACACCAGCAACATCAATCGGTTCTGTTTCTGTTTCTGTTTCATTATAAATCTCTGACGGATCTTCCTTTGATCTTTTATATAAATCTTATTGCTATAAATAAATTTATAACTAAATATGGTTACAATAAACATTTAATTATTCTTACTGAATGTATCTCTTAATTAATCTCAAGTTTTTTCAAAATTTTTCATTCAGATGTCTATATAAAAATTTATTATAATTTTTATATTCTTCTCTGTTGTATAATTTCAATTAAAATTAATTATATTTGTAAATTACATTTAATTTAAAGTTTTTTTAAAAATTTTTCACTTCAAAATTTTCATAAGAATTTATAAAATTTTTTGCGATTCTTCTCTATTATATAACTTTAATTAACATTAATGTCAATTATAAATTAAATTTAATTATAATTATAAATTTTTCACTTGAAAGTTTTCATAAAAATTTATTACATTTTTTAAAATTATTTCTTTATCATATACCTTCAATTCAAATTATTTTTAATTATGAATTACATTTAGTTTAAAATTTTTTCAAAATTTTCTATTCAGACTTCATAAAAATTTATTAAATATTTTTAATTTTCTTTTATATTATAAAACTTCAATTGAAATTAATTTTCATTAAAAATTATATTTAATTTCGAATTTTTGTCAAAATTGTTTTCCTTATAAGTCTTCATAAAAATTTGTTATTTTTCTTATGATCTTCTTTTACTACAATTAATATTTAAAATAAAATGTTTTTAAAAATTGTAAAGTTAAAATTCTTCATAAAAATTAATTAAATTTATTATATTCTTCTCTATCAGAAAACTTCTTTACACAAAACATGGAATTAAATTAAAAATAACAAACTATCATCATTTCTTCTTTTTACAATTTTTTATTTATATACTTACAACTTATCACAAAATAAAAAGCTTGTGTACAACATTTATAACAGACATCAAATTTTTATATTTAAATCGTAACGTATAAAATCAAGTAGTACAATCTTAATAGTACATAATAGTGGGCATAAAAGCGTTTTCTCTGATTTAAATGCTAGTAGATCGTTGACCACACCCTATTTAGTTCTCCCCCGGGTCTCGGTGAATCATTTGCTACATTTTTACAATTACTTTTATTCGTATTATAGCAAAAAAATAACCACTAAAAATTAAGAGTGGGGAAAGCGTAATAACTTTGTATTAAAAGTTAGCTTCTTTATTATTATTATCAATATCATTATAATTTATAATAAATTATTAATAATTTGTTGAAAAAAAAAAAAAAAAAAAAATAGAATACTTATTTTTGAACATTGCCAGGAATTGAACCCTGTCCAATAATATTTAGCCAATAAAGACTTTACTTCGTGCTAAGACATTTTTCGAGTTAATATTTTTAGTGAAAAATTTTATTTTATATTTCTTCAAATTTCAATTTTTTATTTTTCCGATATTAATAAATGTAGAAGTCAACATTTTTAATTTTTTAGTTTAAGAAGAAATTAAATTAACAATAATAATTATTTTTATTCACTTAAAAATAATAATAATTATTATTATAATAATAATAAAGGCGTTGTCAATAGGCAGTTACGACGGTAACCACTCAATCGTCTTGATCGAGTCTCGAGGGCAAAACCAGTAAATTCCCACGTTCAAGACTAAAAAAAAACCCGTACCGACCACTTTTATTTATATTTATATATATAAACCTTTTTTACTTTATATAATATAATATTGTGTCAGAGACTTATTGGAAAGTCAATGACTTATTACTTACTTCCATCTGTCTTTGTTATCATTTATCATCAATCAAATATTAATTAACAATTACTGTTTTCTAGCCTCAAAATTTGGTGATGATGGGAAGCTTTCCTGAGTGCGATGTTAAACTATGCGACTTTGAAATCTCTCGCGTTGTTCTGGAAGGCACTGAGGTAAGGGAGATCCTTGGTACACCTGATTATGTTGGTAAGTTTCATTAAAAATACAATAATTAATTAATATAATTTAAATTAACAGACATTGAAAAATCTTAAAGATTTGTATAATTACAAAATTATTATAAAAAAAAATTTAACATGAAGAAATTAAAAAAAAAATTACAAATTTGAATTCTTAAAATAATTTTTTTTATTATAATGTAGTTAATAAAATCCTTGAAATTTTTTAATGTTTATTGATTTTAGTTATTTTAAGGGGTCATTCTAGTGCCGGTGTTCGAAAAAAAGCAAATATTTATGATTTTTTTACGGATTAACTATCATAGATATCAACAAATACACTCTTTGAATAACACAATAAATATCTAAATTAATTTTTTTATATTAATAAATAACGGGTGAACGGAGCTCCTCCAAAAGTTGGTATTTCGTTGACGTACATGATAACTTGATAATGATGTACCTGAAGTTCTAAACGTTTTTTATGAACGAATGATAATGGCTCATCTGAACCACAAAAAACAAAATTATTTACCTTCAATATATGATTAGTTATTGCACCAGCTACGGAGATTAATATTTATTGATAAATAACAAAATGATGGACATTTAAATTAAAAAAACTGAAAAATACGGCTTTTTTCACAATTTTTAGTCCTAAAAAAATAGCAAAAGTTAAAAATTTTAATTTTTTTGTAGCTGATGCAATATTTACTACTATGTATTATATACTGAAAAAAAATTAATTGGAATCAAGTAAAAAATTCTTAAATCAACTAAAATTTACTTAAACCAAGAAAAATTTCAGCAATTATTTACAAGTGGGGTCAACCCATGCTGGGTCATGTTAAATTTTTTTTTTATTGATTAAATTGATCAATATTTTTTTTAAATTGTTTGTTTCTTTATGTACTTTAAAAAAAATATATCAAAAACATCAACAAAAGATATAATAGAAATTTTACCCAAAAACATGAAAGCCAATTTTTTTTCCAACTTTTAAAACCGAAAAAGCTATCGAAATCTTTATTTTTTCCTTTCACGACATTGTTTATCACAAATGCGCCGTAAAAAAAAAAGCAGAATCGAAAGAAAAAAAAATAAAAAAAATGTTAATTTTGCACGTAGTTATGGCTCAAAATGGGGTTGACCCCACTTGTAAATAATAAGTAACTAAAATTTTTTAGTTTAAGAATTTTTCTACTCAAATCAAGAAAATTAAGATTTTCAAAATTATTAACTTGATTTAAATACATTTTTTTCTGTGTTGAATATTTGCTTTGAATTGCGTTAAGATTAACACGTTTAAAATTTTTTTAATTAAAAAAAAAAAAATCTTAACTAAAGTCAATCAGTGATACCGACACCATACAAAATCCCTTGAGGTTTTTCGAAAATTTTATTTTCTTCTAACCGAATATCCACATAAACGTCGTAAAATAATATAGTTACAGTGGTCAGATCATTTTGAAATTTTAACACAATACTTTTAGATACATGTACTTTAAAAAAATGTAAAAAAAAAATTTGTTTTTTCTAAAGTTACAAACCAGAATGACCTGTTAATGAATTTCTTTATTTATTGAATTATGAGAAATCAAATAATTTTATACTAATAAGTACTTACTTGGAAAATTATTTAGCTCCAGAAATCCTGCACTACGAACCAATAACTCTGGCAGCAGACATGTGGTCCCTTGGAGTGACAACGTATGTATTATTGACGGGGTTTTCTCCCTTCGGCGGAGAAACTGACCAGGAAACTTTCCAAAATATTTCATTGGGAGAAGTTGATTTTCCTGAAGAATTGTTTGAAGATGTTTCTACACAGGCGAAAGACTTTGTTGCCAAGCTTCTCGTGCTTGACCCTAGGTATTTCTTCTTAATATTTATAAATTAGTTAATAAAGTAATGATTCAAAAACTTTTGAGAGGTTATACGTACTTAAAAATAGAAAAAAATTAATTTTTCTTTTATATTTATTACTGGAATATTTAAATTGTTAAATTCCGACGATTCAAGCTAAAGATATCAGTTCTGGCCTTATGTATACTCTAGAAAAAAAATTCTACTAGCGAGAGACAGTTGCCACCTGGCGGAAAAATCAATAACTAGTCTTCTCTTAATTATATTTGTCAGTAATAAATTCAAGGATTAATACTTCCGTAATTTTTTTTATTAATCACTAGATAATAATTTATTTTTAATTTTTTGAGTTATTGAATTTTGATGATTCAAACTGAAGATAAATCCCTTCTATCTATTTTCTAAGTGTGTATTAACCCTCAAAGAAAATAACTAATTCATTCAATCAATTCTAACCTAATTCTATACAAAGGAAAGTTTGGAAAATCCAAAAATTCTACCTGCGTATAACTTCAAACAAATGTTCGTGCACCAACAGCTTCTAAATCTTAACTTTGTAATCTGTTCACAGTGCACGTATGTCAGCAAAACAATGTCTGCGCCACGATTGGCTGCGAGCAGCACCAACTCAAGCCTCACCACACCTCCGCAGGTACTTATCAAAGTCCCGGGAAGTATTACTAGAACGTGTTGTCAGCAGGGAGAACTTGCGACGCGTAGCTCTGATGAATCAGCAGCACCCATCAACATTAACATCAAGTCAAGCTAGTCTGAGCGACCACCAAGGTCAACTGGCCGACGGACTCAGTCAGAGTGAAATGTGTCTCCACATGACCACCAGCGTAAATCTCATCAACAGCCAGTGTTACAATCATCCAGCATCCGGAGATTCGCAGACTTCTTTGGACTCTTCACTGAGCCTGGCGACTTCTCAAACAAGCTTGAACTCCCAAGCCAGCCTAGCAACTAGTCAAAATTACCTTCTGAATGCTGAGCAAACCCTCGGACTACTCAACCAAGTACAAAGTCGTTCTCAAGCTAACTTGAACCACGCAAATCGCCGCGGTTTGCTCTCAAGAATGCGAAGTCTAAACCAAATCCAGTCCCAAGCGTGTTTGACGACTCGCTCGCCGCATCAAAAGGAGTTCACGATGAATCCTCTGTTTGGAAGCCGGTCACAGGAAAAACTCTACGGACTTAAGTGTCTGTCGAAGTCTCAGGGTGTCCTCGATATTTATCACAGCCTGGAGTCGATCAGAAAAACCACCAAGAAAGATAACAGTAAAAATACTCCTAAATATTTGAATTCCAGGTTTTCTTCCCGCGCTTTGGAACGCTGCGAGAGCGCCGGCAATGTTCTGACATCTTGCGACCAGAATTTTGAGGCAAAAGATGAAAATCCCCGAGTTATCTCCTCGGAAACCGAACCGACCAATCAGGAGTCGAAGGAAAAGAAGAAACTTGATGAGTCTGAAGAAAACTTGGACAGTTTGCAGTCTGTGGAGTCTGATACGTTGACGGAAGACTCTGATGAGATTGATCAACGAATTAAGCAGAGTGTTAGGCAGAATTCAGACATTTCTTCTCATTCTAATAATTCTGGTAATTCGGATGATAAACATTTTGATGAACCTTCAGAGTCGGAAAATGATGAGCCAAAATACACGGTTGCGCAATTGGTCAGTGCGTTTAATAAGCATCAGGAAGTTGCTTCTAAGTCTAGTTTGGAGGCGATAATGACTGAAAAGAGGGTCAATGAGGTTAATTTTCCGACTGGGCCCAAAGCGCTCAGGTTGTTTATTCCGGATATTAATATTCAGGAGAGAGGGATTGTCAGGAGAAAGACTAGTTACAAGCCTAGGAAAAATTGGGAAGAACTGAGGAAACGAAATGAGAAGAATGAAGGGTTGATTAAGGATTTGGACAATGACTCGGGGAATGAAGATGAAGATGATTTGGTTAGTGATAGAGGTAAGGATGCGGAGGGGGAAAACAAGAGCGGTTGGACGGAGTTGTTTGAAGAGGAAATTGAGGAGAGGTTTGAGAGGAATGTTGTTATTAATGAGAAGTATAAACAGTGTGTTAATGTTGCTAATTCTAATATGTTGAGTAAGGAGAGCGAGTTCATTGGAGATAGTAGTAAAGAAGAAAGGAAATCTTTTGGTAGAGAAGATATGATTAAAGTTAGTTACAAGGAAGATGATGGTAAATCTTTTGATAAAGGAGGAATCATTAAGCTGGTTAATAAAGAAGAAATCATTAAGCCGATTCATAAAGAAGAAACTAGTAAATCTTCTAATAAAGAAGAAATAATAAAATCTAGTAATAAAGAAGATATTATTACGCCGATTAAAAAAGAAGAAATTATTAAATCTAGTAATAAAAAAGGAATCAATAAATCTATCAGTAAAGAAGAAATCATTAAATCAAATAATACAGAAGAAATCATTAAGCCGATCAATAAAGAAGAAATAAATAAATTTTCTAATAAAGAAGGAATTATTAAGTCCAGTAGTAAAGAAGAAATGATTAAGTCAAATAATAAAGAAGAAATAAAAATAAACGAAAATAAATATCAAAATTCACGTTTATCATATTTAAAAGAACGTATGCCAAATTATATATATCCCGAGGTATTAGTTTGCCCGAAGGATGAAGAAGAAAAAAAGAAGGTTAAGAGAGACAGTTCTGTTAATTTAAAAGATATTTTAAAAATGGATGGTAATAAAGACGCGCAGAAAAATATAGAAAAATTGAGAAAAAGAACTTCAATTACTAAAATTATAGTTACAGATGAATTTAATAAATCTTGTGACGAAGATAAAACTAAATTGAGATTAGAGAAGGATAAGAGTGAAGAAAAGGAAAAAAAGATTGGTGAGGAAAAAAAAATATGGGGAAAAGTTTGCACCGGATCTTACACGCGAGCAATGGAAAAATTCAACGGGAAAAAAAATATCGCGGAGAATTTGAAGAGTAAGCGTAAAAAATAAATTTGAATTAGGGTTTATTTAGAAGACTGAGGATTATACATTGACTGTACTTAATTTGTTTTATAAGAAGAATAAAAAAAGTAATTGATTGCCTCGATAACATTTTATGGAAAGCCTCGATCTAGATTTTTTGTTGCCTTTTATCGATCTCGTTGTTTGTTATGTATGTCTTTATCGCAGAATTAAATCGTTAAATGTGTGTGATGGAAAAAACCGGTTGCGCTGAGCAGTCAATTGAAAAATCGCGTCAATTGTGCGGTCAATAAAAAAAGTTTATCTTTAAATTTAATTCTACTCAATTACACACACTTGTAATTAGATATTGGTTTTACATTTTTATCTTACGGTTATATTAATAAATAACTAATTAAATATGCAGATCAACTTATACAATGCAATATAATATGTATATTGAGATTTTAATCTCAGTAATTTATATTTTAAAAAAAAAGTTATTAAATGCAGCGTTAATTTAATCTCGTAAATTGTCTGTCACCATCAACTTGATTGCTATCTGATTAATATTAAAATCATGTTACTGTTAATTATTATTAAATTACAAACGACTTTACTTAAGATATTGATCCGTAGACAAATAGGTAACAAGTTTTCTTACTCTAAGGAATTATTAATTACAATGTTCCTATTTTTTTACGAGTATATACACTGTGAGAAATTTTTATTTAAATTTAGAAAAAAAAATTTTTGTTATTTTTTCGTTTTATCAAAAATTTTTTTCAATGCAATTTTTAAAGTTTTTTTTTACAATCATTAAGTTATCATTAATTTAAAAATTTATAGAAAACAATTCAGTGAAGAAAATAACAATTTTTTCTTAACAATAAAACTATTTAAAAAATTGTATTATAAAAATGGAACTTATTATAAAAAAAAAAAAAATTTTTTTGTTGACAAAATGGAAAAATAATAAAATTTTTATTTTTTATTTTTTATAGTGTACCCTTTAGAATAATTCATTTAAAAATTTTATATTTTTGGATAATTATTAAAGAAATAAATGAATTTAAAAGACTTGAATTTACACTAATTTTAATAAAATTTTTGAATAAAAATATGTATGTAATATTTTTTGTTAATCAAAACTAGAAATTCAGCGGTGCCCTAATTTATTTACTAGAAAAATAAAATGATTTTTTCTCTATTAAATTAATTACTGGATGCTGTTTTTCAACTGTAGATATATGAGACTAACAATAAAAAAATATACTTATACAAATCGTATTATTAATTACTTTATATTTATTAATTAGATATTTCTTCCACATTAAAATAAAAAACAGATGGTTGTGTCAATAATATTTAAAAGAAAGAATTATGTATAATTGATTAATCACTTAATTTATTATATTAACATAATTACTCCCATCGACTCTTCCTCACACGTTTACGATCGCTTTTCTCAGACGTTTGATTTTTAGACTCTTCAGATCCGGAACCAGGCCCTGGCGGAGGAGGTGGTGGTGGCATCACCACGGAAGGTGGCTGAATCGTTTGTTCCCACGTGTGATCCGAAGACGCTCGAAACTTTAAAATAAATTATATTATTGATTTATTTTTTACATTGAATTAGCGAAATAATATTAGTTTTTTTTATTTTAACTAAATTAAATATTAGAACACCAACAAATAAATAGAGATAATCATTACTTGTGTATTGTATTGACTTTTAAAAGCGGCTTTCATTGCAGATAATCGATCGCTACAAGGACCATGTCGTTCTAATTTTTTAACAACTTCACTTATGTCCTTCGGCACCGATGCACTTGATCCTCCACTCTATAAATAATTTATTTATTAGCAATAATAATAATTATAATAATAATTATTTGTTTGAAAAAAAAAAAAAAAAAATAGGAAAGTCTCTTTTGAATATAGCCAGGAATCAAACACCGTCTTCTTACAATCAATCTACAAACACTTTTACCCTACGCTAAAGCACTTTTCGAGTGCTCTTATTGTTTTCAATAAAAATTAGATTTTATTTTTCTTTAAATATTAATTTATCAATCTTTTACTGTTCCTATTAATAAAAAAATCCATTATAATATTGATGAATATAAAAAGTAGAAAGTTTTACACGGAAAAAAGTAAACTGTAAAATTCACTCAGATTCCGGTTAATTTTTATAGTTTCAAACAGTACAGCGGACATCGGGGTGGCAAAAATATAAATATTACAGAACTTAATGTAGAAAGTGTAAAAGCGACAATTTATAATTTAATATCGAAAATAAGTGATTAGTAGCTGTCACTATAGTAAATAACGACTCTCTCATCTTAAAAATATTAATCATCTTAATAGTCCATATTATGAGGAGAAGGGGGTCTCACTTTCGGAGAATTTAACATTTGAAACAGTAAAAATTCTACTTTTAAAATATACATTTTACCAGTCCAAGCTAATCAATAATTATAGTTTCATTTAAAATTTACCATTTTACTTTGTAAATATTGACGTTGCTTGTATTAATAATTTAGTAACTTCATTTTATACTTTTTACATATCATACGATCATTTTTTAGTTACGAAATGATAAATATCAAAGTCAATTCTTAATTTTTATACTTTAACATTTTCGACATTCACATAGCGAATATTACTGTTTGAAATAGTATTTTCTTCCATGTGAAGAATAAATTGTAGCGTTTAAATAATAAATATTATATAGTGAATAGTAAAATCACGATTTTACTGTTTGAAATGGTAATTTTTAGCAGTTGATCATTACTTAGTATAAATCGACTATTATTTATTACAGTTTACTTTTTTCCGTGTAGCTTTAAATTTAAGAAGAACTGAATTAACAAAAAAATTATTTATTTTATTCATTAAGAAGAAATAATTAAAATGATATTTGAAAAAATAAAAAAATTTTTTTTAATTATTTTATAAAATACAACTTTTGATAAAAATAAAATTTTTTTTTAATTATGAAAAATTAAATAACGTTCTCTAAAATCTCTTATCAATTTTCTCACTGCAAAATTAAGGATGTATGAGTGAGGGAGTGGGGGAATAGTGAATTATAGAGCAATTTCTTTGGGTATAAATCTATCTTTGAAAAAATTTTGGGGACTTAAATCGAAAATTGTTGTCACGCTCATACATCCTTAATAACATAAAAAAATTAACTTGGGAATTTTTTTAAATTCTTTCGGTGCTATTTTTGATTTTTTTTACAGTTGTTAAGTTTCAATTAATTTAAAAATTTAAACAATCTAGCAGTAGCAAAAATTCATAATCATAAAAATTTACATTTAAAAATTTTTGTCTTAAGCAGTAAAAAAAAAAAATTATCAACAATATATAAAATACCTGATTCGACGAAGTAGGTCTACCTCTAAATCCTAATCCAGCACCACCAACATTCAAACTCTTTCCTTTTCCACCTTTGAATCTGGACTTACGGAACCAGGAGCTCTGCATCGCAAGATCCATCAAACTCTTGGGAACTTCTTGATCAGCACCTTCTAAATTTCTGACTAAATGCCCAGCAAACTCTTTGTCCTTCTCAGAGACTAGCGTATAAGCAGTACCCTTTTCTCCAGCACGCCCAGTTCTTCCAATCCGATGAGTGTGAGTGTCAATATCCCTCGCGATGTCATAATTAACCACCGTTCTGATGTGAGGAATATCCAGACCACGTGCTGCAACGTCAGTCGCCACCAGAATACTCACTTCCTTCTTCTTAAATGCAGTAATTACTTTATTCCTCTCAACCTGGTCCATGTCTCCATGCAGCAGCATCACCTCGTGTTCCTTCAACTTTAAATTATTAGAGAGCTCTTCGGCGTTGAGTTTTTTAGTTACGAATATCAACAGACTTCCGGCGCTCAGAAACTCGACAATGTTCTGCAGCAACCAGGTCCACTTGCCAGTCGGGTTGTTGTTGAAAACTATCACGTGCTGTGTTACGTCTGTGTTAGCTTCTCCCACATCACCGTGGACTATTTTCACCGGGTCTGTTAGCACGTCACGCGCTAATTTCTCAATTCGTTTTTTGAAGGTTGCACTGAACATCAGCGTCTGTCTATCTGGTCTTACGTGATTACAAATTGACCTTACTTGTGGTTCTGTAAATTAAATTATTTAGTTAATAAATGAAAAAAAAAAAAAAAAAAAAAATGCTAATTCAGCTGATGATTGTATAAAAAAAAAAAAAATTTGAAAAAAAACTTACCAAAACCCATATCAAACATTCTATCAGCTTCATCGAGTACCAAAAAAGTAACCCGACTAAGACTTGTAGCCTTCATTTTAACCAAATCAATCATTCTTCCCGGAGTAGCGACTACAATTTCAGCTCCATTAGCTAGAGCTTGACTTTGTTCCCACTTACTTCCTCCTCCGTAGCAGCAACACACTTGGATGTTGTAAATCTTGCCGAATTTTTTGGCTTCATGGAAGATCTAGAAAAAAATAATAATCAATATTTCAACTAATGTTATTGGATTCTTGGTACTTTTTCTTTATTTTAAAATTTTTTAATTAAATAATCATATAAAAAATCTTAAGGGATTCTACGCACTTGAAATTTTTGAAAAATTAGTTTTTTATAATTTTATTTTTGTCATATAGATATATTTAAGTATATGCACGAAAAATTTAGTCTCAACCAGAAAAGAATTATTAAAGTTACACTTACATTTGTAACTACATCGCATGCCAAAATTTAAAAGGACGCGTAATTTTTTTCTGAGCAATTTATTAAAATGCTTGCCTTAAGCCTAAAAATTGAATAAATAAATGCAGTCAAAGACGTGTATTCTAAATATACGCTCTTTAAAAATTGAAATTAGAAACATTTTTAGAAAAATTACAAAAAATCAAAAAATGAATAATTAAAAAAATTATTCTGATTTATGGCGTACCCATAATCTAAAACAATGATTAAAGAAAAAATTAGTAAATTTCGGTTTTTTTATAATTTTTATGAAAAGTTGATATTTTCATTTTTTTCATTATTTAATTTTTAACGAATTTTTAGATAAGAAAATATGACATAGATAAAAAAAATTTTAGTCGTATGAATTTTATATTCAGATTCTGAGTAACTGCAAAACTAACCAATTGATTTTGTTTTGCTCCTTTTTATAATAATTGAGCTTTGTACTGTAAACCTTTTTTTGGATCTAACTTGCCTTGTGATACTATTTGTCAACATTTTGTATTAAAATTTAAATTTTTTTATGCGCTCTTTCACCTTTTCACACGCGATATTTTAAAATATATTATATTTTTGTGAACAATTTAGGACTATAATTTTAATTAAAAATCGATCTTTGGTTTTTCTTAGTCCGATTTTATGTTAAAAATAGATATTTAATAGTTCTTTCGATTAATCACTAGATAATGTTTTATTTTAAAGGAATTTGATGAGAAATACGGTGAAACTGACAAGGACCATTTTTATAAAAAATAAAATTTTCTACAAAAATGATTTCTAATGATTTTTTCACATCTTCAGTATTAAAACCAGAATTTAGATTTCAAACTTTTTTGCCCTTTTAATTACGTATAATTTCGAAACAAATTAAAAAAAAAAAAGTAAAAACAACAAAATTACCTGTTGTGATAATTCACGTGTAGGCGCTAAAATTAATCCAATAGGACCATCTCCTTCTTTAAGCTCTCTCTGGTCCATAATGTGCACCAGCATCGGCCAAATAAAAGCCGCGGTTTTACCACTACCTGTTTTGGCAATACCGATCAAATCTCTACCACTCAACGCGGTTGGAATTGCCTGAGCTTGAATTGGAGTCGGCTGGGTGTACTCATTCTTCCTGATAGCTTTTATCAGCGCATCATCGAACCCAAAGTGTCCAAAACTGGCGACCGGTTTCGGCGCAGCTGCTCCAGATACTCTGATCCCCAGAGTCTTTCTTAATTCATCAACCTGGCTCTTTGTTAAGCACGCAATGTCCTCATGGACATTGTAGAAATTCTTTTCGAAAGGTTCATACTCGATTTCTGAATGATCAATCGGCGGTAGAGGATCAATCTCCTTTTTTCTTGGTGGGGCTAGAGGATTTCCATCCTCGTCATACTCAATCTCCGTGTCAGACTCTTCTTGCTGCAATCCCGCTGTTGGATTTTCTTCCATATACCTAAAGGGTTTCAAAATTATTGATAAATATTTATTGTTTATGTACTCGTAAAAAAATATTTTTTGATATTTATTAAGCAGTATTAAGTTTTAATAAATGATTTTTTAGCGTTAAATGATTCAATAAATTTTTATTAATAGTCAAAAAAATATTTAGTTATCTATATAATTAAGAGAATAAGGAAAATTTTGTCTACGGCGTAATTGTATGATAAAAAAAGTTTTGTAAATTTAATTTAGTATCATTGGAAAGGTTTTGACCGAAATTTGTGCTTTTTAAATGTTTCATATGTTTTTCAGCAATAATTAAGTTATTATGATAAGTTTTAGAAGTACTTAGTTCTAAATAGAAATAGATTCAAATTGCGTGATAAACGTCATTTCTTTATTTATTTACTTTGTTTTGTAAACATTAATGTGGTTATATGTTAAAAATTAATTTATATAATTAAGAGACTAAGAAAAATTTTGTAACGGGTATATATATATCGTAAATTGGTTTTGATATTTTTTCCGTAATAATCGTTTATGATTTAAATAATTGAGAGAAGAAGAAAAATTTTTTGACTAGGATAATATTATTTTTAAAGGAATTTTTATAGTTGAATTCGGCATCATCAGAAAGTTCTTGATAAGAATTTGTACACTTTTTACGGTTTTATATATTTTTCAGTAATAGTCAATTTTTTATGTTAAGTTTTTGAAGAAGTTTTGAATGGCTTGTTGGTTCTATAAATTTGTTCCGTCACATTTGCCCATTAAATTATTTGTAATTGATCCTGTTATGGCACTAGTTTTTTTTCAAAATTTATTGAAAATTATCTAAACTATGTAAGGTAAAAGACCCCATTAGTGGCACCTTTAACCCCTATTAGTGGCACTTTTTCTTCCAATTAAAAAATGTTCTACTGGGAATAAAAATTGAAAATTTTTTGGATCTAAAGGTCTTTAAAGATTATAAATAATATATTCATTATTGAAATTAATAATTTTATTAATTGAATAAGTACTAAAATCAAAGAAAGTGTCAGTAATGGGGTCTTTCATAATCCAAGTCATTCATAATCCATAAATCTCGGCAGTCACATAGTGACTACAGGTTGTTAAGATTTGATAAATGAATTAATTGTTTTGAAATAAATGAATTCATCAACATTTAATAAATTCTTCTATCATCGTATTTATTACTTAAAACAAAAACAATTATTTCTTCATACCTGTAGTAACTTTCTTCATTGTCTTCCTCATCAATATCCTGCCTAACTCCCTTATGAGATTTGTCTTGCTTTTCGGAATCTTCTGCCGTGGAAGCCAACGCAGCTTTATTATTCCTTTGAACTTCAGCATCAATCCCAGCCATGAAAGCATCCAGAGGATCTTCCTCACTGTCACTGTCATTCTTCTTGGACTTCTGGTTCATCAGCTCATAAGTCGGTGAACCTGGAGCTGGAATGTACTCTAGAGTACTCGCTGGTGTCTCATCATCATCTTCAAAGTACTCATCTTCGGTCTTGGTCCTTTTTTTGGGCATGCCCCAGCACGCTGACAGCGCATTCTCCGTAATAGAGTTCATCGTGTGATAGCCTTGCTTGCTCAACGACGACGAGGTGTTTATTGACGCGGGTGGCGGGATATTAACTCCAGATCGCTTTGAGCCCATTTGAAAGCTCGTGAATCCGAAACCTCGCGGTTTGTTTCCTCCGCCTCTTTGATAACTCATTTTTTATGTCACAGAAAATAAAAACTAACTGAAAATAACCAACAATCATCAATTAATAATTATAATATAAATTTTTTCATTGTATTCTTTTTTTAATATTATTGAACTTACTTACACGTGTTTTTAAATTTATTTTGACAGCTGTCAAAAATGGAGTATTTTTTTTAAATACTTGACATTTAAATATAATTTTTTTTTATTTTAATTGAATAAATATTTTTATTATTATTTACCAACTGATTTAAGGTTAAGACGATTTACAAGTATATATTTTAGAACAGAAAATTTTTTTTGTGATTTCATGTCGCGAGATGAAAATTGAACACTAGCGCGATCTTGCGGTTTTATTTTTAACTAAATTAAAAAAATTTATTTTTGACAGCTGACGGACAAAAGAGTTTTTAAATATTTAAAGGTTATGTGAGAGTATGTTGATCAAAGTAATTGTATGTAAATGTAAATAAACAAAAAATAAGTGGAAGTATATGAATTTATGTAGAAATTTAGGAAGTGAAAAATGAAGAAAATTAATTAAATAATTAAATATGGAAAATTATGACTTACTCAGTCAAATTGGTGAAGGCTCATTCGGGCAAGTATTCAAGGCGAAAAAACGAGCTAATGATGAAATAGTTGCTGTCAAAAGAATACGAAAGGTAAATAAACTATTATTATTAATTGTTTATATATACTATTTATGACTTAATGATAGTGACTTAAATAGACGTTTGTGAATTTTTTGTAACATTTTTTAAATTTACAATAATTTACAATAAATAATTTTAAATTTTTTATAACAACTCAGTTATAATGAATAATACTAAAGTTAGCCGACGCTTTTAATTTTTTGATTTTTTTTTTCAATAATTAAATTAGAACAAAAAAATATTTTTAAAAAATTGCACTTACAGTTTTTCAAGTTTTTTATAAATGAAATTTTTTTTTATTTTTTTGCAATTATTTTTTCTATATAAAAAAATTCTAAAAATTTTTTAATGTTGGCTAACTTAATTGTCATTTATAATGAAAAAATTTTAATAAAAAAATTAATTTAGCATAGAATATTGAATATTTTTAAGAATTTTATAACAAGTAAATTATGGCAAAAAATTAGAAAAAATAATTGACATGTAAAAATTTTTAAAAATTAAAAATGCAATTTTTTTTAAATAATTTTTTGGAACAGATTTGTTTGCTAAATAAATTAAAAAAATACTAAAATGACTGCTCACTTTAATGTCATAAAAAAAATACAAATGCAAATTTTTAAAAAATAATTTTTTTATAATTTGTTTGTACATAACAAAAATAAAAAAATCACAGATCTATGTTGATTTCAGTATCATATTTTATTATTTTTATTCTTTAGCGAGGACGTTCTTGTAAAGAACTGAAAAGTCTGCGTCAAGAATGTGAGATCCAGAGGTACTTGAGTCACCCGAATATTGTCCGGATGATAGACTCTTTTGAAACTGTTGATGAAATAGTTGTAGTAACAGAGTACGCTGACAAAGAACTTTATGAAATCTTGGGTAAAACGGGAAGGTTTACTGAAGATCGCGCTCAAAAGGTTATCTGCGATCTCGTGTCGGCGCTTTATTATTTGCACTCTAATCGAGTGTTACATAGGTAGTTGCAGCTTAATTTTAATTTAACTTACAATAAATAATAATACTCAAATCAGCAAAAATCTGATGAATTATAAAATTTTTTTCATCAGACAAATTATTATAAAAAAATTTCACTTGCCGAAATTTTAAATAACTATTAGTGCAATTTTTTTTTTTACATATTTTCTTAATACTAATTTATTTGTTGAATAAAAATAAAAAATTACCAGCTGTCTGTTGATTTTAACATCATTTAAATGTTTTAAATTTTGTAAAAAATAATTCTTTGTCAAAATTAGAGATCTGAAACCTCAGAATGTCCTTCTGGAAGCAAATGGCACAGCGAAACTATGTGACTTTGGCTTCGCTCGGATAATGAGCACAAGAACTCACGTTCTGACATCAATAAAAGGAACTCCTCTTTACATGGCGCCAGAATTGATAGAAGAGTACCCTTATGACCACAATGCTGATCTGTGGTCTCTTGGTTGCATCGCTTATGAGATGATTGTTGGTACTCCTCCGTTTCAGACAACTTCAATCCTTCATTTGGTTGGACTGATTCGCTTTGAATCTATAAAATGGCCGGAATTTATTTCTGCTAAATGTCAAAGTTTCTTACAGGTATTAAATAAAAAATTATTAAGAAGTAAATTAATAAATAAAATAGACATCTCATAATTATTATGAATTTTATAACAAACTAGAAAGTTGAAAAGCGCGCTACGCGCGCGCCTAAATTTTAACCAATACCGAATCGTGGCCTGTTTTTTGCGATTTTCGACTTTCCTAGTAGATGATTAACTTCAAGACTTTCATATATTTTAATTTAAAGGATTAATTGATTTATAAAAAAATATTTTCAAGAATCCATCCAGACCAAGAATAATCATTTTTAATGATTTAATTATAAAAAAATCGTCAAATTTTTTTATAGTTTCAACTTACAAACTATGATACTTTTGTTTGTAAAGTACATAATAATAAACAGTAAATTGTAATAATTAATTTTACAGCCGAGTGCTCCGAATATTGACCATTACTTACTAAATTTTGACCGTCTATGTTCCAAATACTGACCAGTAGAGTTATGCTTACTAGACTTATAAATAATTTTTATTTTTAATCTATAATAGTTTCGACATTAGGTAATCTATTCACTAACAAGTTTATAATTTCAGTATTGTTATTAGCTGTTCTGTATTCTGATACAACATTATCTTCATTACTCATATTGAAATCAATAGCCGAATCCATACTAATAATAGATACATTCGATAATTTGCAACACTAATTGAGGAGCTGATTTTCAAAAAGGTATCTTTTCGTATTTTAAAAGAACAGTTTTTTGAACTTTTAAATATTAATTACTTCGAGAATTATAAAGATTTCTAAATGAAAATCGAATTGTAGCTTCATAATCGATAGCACTTTATAGCTAAATTAAAAAAGTTCAATAAAAATATTTATAATTGAAGAGAACCAGTTTTTTGTCTCGATCAATCAAAAATGAAAAGATACCGTTTTGAAACTTAACTCCTCAATTGTTCATCATAGTATTATTTCAATTATTAATATGGTTTTTATAACAAAAATAATTGATAATTAATCTTCGATATTCAATTATTTTAATAATACATTCGAAGAGCTCAAAAGCTTAGAACAGCTAACAAATATAAATAATGCTGTGAAGCGGGAAAGAATAGAAGTTACGGATAATTATTACGTGAAGCGTTCCAACATTTACGTAACAGGATAATTGGTAGGAAAGGATTGAGAAAGGATTGTGGAGAGGATCATCTTAATGTGAGTGTATAGAATATGCGAGAAAAAAAAAAAAAAAAAATTATTAGATAGCTCGGACTGGGATTCGAACCCAGAACCTTTGAACCAGAACTTTTTGAGCTCGGAGAGTTCGAAATAACATATAAGTTATATCTTTGAGCTCGAAGAGTTCAAAAACGTCATAAGTGCAATTTTGAGCATTTAGATATGGAATTAGCAAGAAGTTGCAGGAATGGCCTTTAGGATCAACCGTTTTCCAGATTTTTTTTTATTATAACAACTGCATATATTTGTGTGCATGCGAAAGTTTCAAGTATAATTAAAAATTGATAATTACGTACTGAAATTAAAATTAAATTACTAGGTTTTTTTTTTTAATTAAGTTATTGTGCTGCCTAATCAATATTTGGTTAATTTACCCTAATTCATCAATTTTAATTTTTCATTTAATAATAATAGTAATAATAATTGATAAATTTGACATTTTTAGGGATTACTAGAAAAAATTCCATCACAACGTCTGACCTGGCCAGACTTACTGGAACATCCTTTCGTGAAAAACCGGATCCTGATAATAGACAGTCCAACGTCATTCACCGCGCCTTTGTCTAGTTCAGAAGCTCACGCGAAGCAACTGCAATTTGAACACTTGTCCATGCGAGCTATTAATAAATCACGCACATTAGATAACAATCACCAAGGATGTGTTTCCCAGCCAATTTATCCTTTAGTGAATAGATTTCACCCTTTTGTCTCTGCTGATGCTTACAATTCTCGGCAAAATGGAACCAGTTCGGGATCTACAGCGAGTGTTGACGTTCTGCTTAGTAATTTAAGCCTCAGAGCTTCTCTTCAAAGTGATTTGTTGTCAGCAAATCAAGCTGCCGAGATAAATTGCACTGACAGCGCGTGTATGAGCCAGCAATTGGGAAACGAGAATATCAACAGTCTGTATGATTTTACTGGTAAGTTACTGGATAATTGTCAAAATTATAATTTTTTCAAGAAAATCAAGAATATAGAGAATTTATGTTTAAGAATAAACAAAAATTAATTGGAGCAATTATGAGAAAAAGAAATTTTCGTCGGGGATAAAATTTATTAAATTTTTTTTTTAACAGTCAAAAATTTTTTTTGAAATTTATAAAAGTAGACGCATTGAGAAAAAGTTAAATTTATAAGGTAAATTTTTTTTAAATTGAAGGATTAATTAGTATAATTGTATCAGACGGCTGACTTTTTTTTTAAAGTTTGTTAATGATTAAATTTATTATAATTTTCTTATTACAAAAAGATAAATATAAAAAAATGCAATTGTGAATTTTTGAACGTTTCTTCTTTATAGTTTTTTGGATTTTGCATACCTTAATTTAAGCGCAAACGCGAAGGTATGGACATTTGAATTTATCATCCTCTAATATTTGTTTCCAACAGGATATGAAAAACCTGACTTTGACAATAAAAATTGCGAGACAAGTGACCAGAGTCCAAAAAAACTTCCTGATTGGGACGCGCGAGCAGTGGATCAGCACATAGAAAATGACGAATGGTTGGCGTTCCTCCAGCAGTCGATCGAAGAAATAATCGAGGGAGAAATCACTTCTCTCGTTGAAGAAAACTGTGTTTCTATTTTTGTTTCTCCTCTGAGAAATTCATCAGCTAGCAGTCAAGTTGTTGAATACATCGCTTGCTTACTGTCTCTTCCCTTTGTCTGCTCGATCTCTCCCGAGGAATTGACCAGGATCCAGCGGGTCTACTACGATGTAAAAGTCGTTCCGAACTTGGTTTGTGCGATGAATATAATCTTGGAGCGGCTACAAGCAACTCAGGCTGAAGACCACGAAGAACTGACAAGGAGAGACTGCGGGAGTATAAAGACGGCTTCAATGCTTTCGCCAGAACAGCTGCAAGCACTAGAGTCTTCGATGTTGGTTCTCTGTCGCCTGGTTCATAGCGATCAGAAGTTCCTGGACCAATTTTGTCAAGCTGTGGATATAATTGGAGTGAACCTACTCAGAGAGATGCTGACTTTAGAGAGAAGAAAAGTTAGAATTGTTGCTGATTTGCTGGCGATTCTCAATAATACTTTGAGATCACTGCCGGGAAATGTTGAGTTGGTTGAAAAAGTCGTTTTTGGACAACGCAGTAAGTAATTATTAAATCATATTTTATAAAATATTATTTTTTTTTATTATTTAATCTAGATAATTAGAGAGTAAGGAAAATTTTGTATCCTTCGTATTTATACATATGATAAAATGAGTTTTTTAAATTTAATTTAGTATCATTGGAAAGGTCGAGACCTGAAATTGTGCCTTTTCAATGTTTTATATGCTTTGCTAAAATAGTTCATTTATTATGATAAGTTTTCGAAGTAGTTCTAAATAGATTCAAATTGCGCGATAAAAATAATTTGTTTATTTATTTATTTTGTTTTGTAAATTTGAATACAGTTATACGCCAAAAATTAATTTATATAATTAAGAGACTAAGAAAAATTTTGCAACGTGTATATCTTTATCATAAATTGGTTTTGCTATTTTTTTCAGTAATAATCGTTTATAATTTAAATAATTGAGAGAGTAAGGAAAATTTTGTGACTACACTTCTCACAAAAATTAAGGGAGCAAGAAAAAAATCCAAATTTTTGGAGACAATAGTAACTATGTTGAAATATTCCTCTATTTTTCTTTTTCTTTTTTTTAAATTTATTTAAGTGGATTCTGAATTATCTTATGTAGATATTAGTTCTTTATATCACTTTACACTTTTATATGTAAATACTTTGTATAATTGTATAATTGCCGAGTGGCGTTTTTTCATATAAATAAATAAATAAATAAATTTTCAAAAGGCCGTAACTTGTAGAAAAATGGTCGTACAGAAAAGAAAAAAAAAAGCAAATTGTAGCTCTGTCTAGTTTCAAGATTTGAGTTTGAAAAATTTTTTTTTGAAATTTTTTTTCGAGTAATCTTAAGAAAACCACCGAAAAAAAAATTTTCGAAATTTTCTTGTTTTTTTTTTTTTTTAATCTACGGAATTGGAAAACATTTTTTTGATTTAACCTCTATATGGACCGGATAACTTGTATATTCGGCTTTGATTTGGTTTTTTAAAAATCTTGATACGAGCATTTCTCGCTGAGATATCGGTGTTTGAATGGGAAAAGATCATTCTACCTTTGATTATCAATATCTCAGCAACCAATGATCGCACAGAAAATTCAAGGATGGTTTCAAAAGTTTGAGTAAATTCTCTACAAGGATTGGCTATTAATTTTTAAAAAAAAAAATTGTTTTCAATCATTACATGAATTTGAAAAAGCAATCAAAAAAGGGCTTTTCACGGTTTTTTGGAAAGTCAAGCGCCTAATCAAAAATATCGCGGAAACCACTAATGTTAAGTGTGCCTTTTACAATTCAATATACCCACAAAAACCCTACGAAATTTCAATTTGATCCAGCTAACCGTTTTTTTTTCTCACTCGATTAAATTTTTGAAAAAATTAAAGGAGCAAGATTTTTGCTCCGAAAAGGTCACAATTTTTTTTATAAAGAAAACAAATTTTTTTTTCCATTTTTCTTTCAATTTTGCATCTGTGACTTGGTAAATTTGGAAAAAAAAAAAAACAATTTTTATGTTACGTTTTTGAAGAAGTTTTTAATAGTTTATTGGTTCTATAAATTTGTTCTATTACATTTGTCCATTAAATTATTTGAAATTAATCCTGTAATAGCACTATTATTTTTAAAATTTATTTAAAATTACCCAAACTATGTATAGTGTGATTAATAATATCAATAATCAGGAAACCCAAGTTTTTTTGTTCATAATCCGTAAATCTCGGCAGTCACATAAAGACTACAGGTTGCTAGTAGGATATAATTTTTTTAATTATTTAATTTGTTCTTGAAATAGTTGTTTGATAATGGGTTAAATTGCAGGTGAAACTATTGAACAATTGAGTAAATTATTGACACACAGACAAGTTGTTTTGAAGTCAAGAACTTGCACGTTGATAAGACTTTTGGGAAGGCTGAGGTCGAAGGCTTTTAAGCAGATCTGGGACAGGCAGTTGGAAAGTTTACTGAGGAATTTAACTAATGATGAAGATAATAATGTTAAAAATGTAAGATATTGAATTTTTCTTTAATTTTTATTAAAAAAAAAAATTTTTTTTTGAAAGATGATACTGGAAAAACAGACATTTGACAATTTTTAGTATTTTTATTAATAAAAAAAATTTATGCGTAGAAATTTTTAAGAATTATAAGTGGAATTTTTCTAAAATATCTTTTCTACACTAACCTAGTTTTTAAATAAAACCAAAAATTGTACAGATGTTTGTTGATTTCAGTATCACTTTAAAAGTTATTTCTCACCAAATAATTTTTATTGTATTTTTAGGTGGCGAGTCGTACTATTAATGAGCTCATACACTGTACTTAATTTTCAACAAGACTAGTTTTTTGGATACATACAAAGTTTTTTGATAAATATTTCGATAAAAATATTCTTAAAATTAAGTACCTAAAAAAAAGTTCTTCAAATTTTATGATGATGAAATTTAGAGACATCTGATAATGTTTTTGATTTTATTGATGAATGAATTATTTTAAAAATTCTGAAAAAATTATAGATATTGAGATTGTACAGTTCTTACGATTAAATAAGATGACAATTAGAAATAATATTTTCTTATATCTTGCTTAGTTTTCAAGGTATTGATGAATATCTAGAAAAAAATTAGAAAAACGGTTAACCCTAAAGGCCATACTTACAACTCTTTGAGCTCAAAAATATAATTTTTATGTTATTTTGAGCTCAAAGAGATGGTTGTTCTATGCTTTGAGCTCTTCGAGCTCAAAAGTCTGATAGAAGTTTCACAAAATACTATTTTTTGAGTTTTCTAACTACAATAACTGTTGAATAAATCAACCGTTTTTCTCGCGGTTTACGGCCAATCAATTCAGTTTTTTGAGTTCTTCGAAAAATCTTAGAGCGCGAACAGCTCAGACTAAAAATTTCATAGAAATTCTGAAAAGAAAAAAAAAAACATTTTTTACAATTTTTTTTGACAACGATATCTCACGAACGAATCAACCGATTTTGACCGAGTCTGTGGCGATCGACGTGGTTTTTGAGTTTAAGAGCTAATTAGTGTTTGGGATTGATCGGTAAAACCGTTATAAAGTTATTCCAAAAAAACAGTTTAAGTTTTTTTATTTTTGAGATTGCTCAAAATCTAGCCAACCAAATCGATTTAAATTTTCACAAAATCTAATGGCAATAATAATCTTTAGATCGCCACCTATCTCGATCCGATCGGTCGAGCTGTTCAAAAGTTATAAGAAGTTTATACTACACTTTACATTTTTGAGAATCATTTTGTTATTATTACCTCGGTTTTCGCGGGGTAAATAATTATTTTTTTCACTAATTTTAATTATTAATTGTTCGCACTAATTTTTGCCGTTGAACATTTGATTCAACTACAACGAAATTACTGGGTAGTAATTTAGTTTTGCAGGTATGTCCAAGTTTAAGGGATGTACTTAGCCCATCCGTTCATGACCATTACCTGACGAGAACTGAAGAAGTGCCCATGAGTCCATTGGAGCACTCACAACTGAGAAACGAGATGTAATATCAGAATTGTGCTTGAGACTTCCAGTCACCATTAACAATAACCGTTAACAAAACCGTCAAGAAAGTTCTGCACTAACAAACTAAATATTCCGTAAACTATTGGTCTCAGAGTGACGCGGATTTTTTTTATTTCGTTTTAAATCTGTTCTTATCCTTATAATTGCTTGATGTCGGCACTACCACTATGATATTTTTAATTTTATTTCTAGTATGAAATTGTTATAAACAAATTGATATTTTTTTCTAGAACAATTTTTCTATTCTCTGATATTTTTTCAAATTTTAAGATTTCGAGTTCTTTTACATTTATCTCAGTTGTCTAAGTACTTTTTTAAGAGTTGTCGAAAAATTTCTTATAAACATATATGTAATTTTATAAGACATATTGTTTTTTCCTTGTAATAAATTTTGCATTACATACTCCCCGTAATTACCGTTTATAATGAACAATCCTTTTTCGTAATTTTTAATGTCGCCATCTAGCGGAAATGCTCGTGTCTAAATTGAGTGACTGACGATTTGAATAAAACGTTTCATTCGGATACAGTTTTGTTCAACAGTTTTACTCAAGAGTTTTATTCAACAGTCACTTTGAGTCATACTTACTCGTCTCTGTTTCGTTCAGGTCAAGTTTTTGAAGTGGTAGGTATAAAATTCACAACTCCTAATCATTCTGTGATCTACGGTAATGTGAATTGAGGGTCATTACTGCACAGGCAGAATAAAATAAAATGAATATTACTTTTGCCCTAATGCTACCTATAAGTCTATACCTGAGTGCTTACCGAAGTAATTAGTATTGCTGTACTCAGGTATAATTTTTTTCTAAAAATGATGAGTTGAGCTTTGAGGTTAATGTATTTTGTTCATGAATTTTACTTGAATGAACCATTCATTTGATTCGATAGCAAACCCAACTTGGCAGTGATTCGAGTAAAATGAAAAATTCCCAATTTGGACATCACTCACTAAAAATTTCAATGAATAATATGTTCGGAAAATAAAAAAAAATAAACGAAGCTATGAAGAAAATTTACATAAAATAAATAATTGTAAGCTCAGACAAACATAATTATAGAACTTTAACCAAAGAAAAAGTACTATACATAGAGATAATTAAAAATAAAAAATTCCTTTATGGTAAATTACCAGAGAAATAATTTGGATATTCAAAAATATACAAATAAAATATTTCAAATAAATTTGATACTTCAATTAAAAGAAAAATATCAGTCTCCTGATAATTACAGTCTTAAAAATAAACAATATCAAAAAACTATAGCTAAATATAAAGATTTTAATTAAAATATTAGATCATATCATTATACAAAATTAAAATTGAAAAGGCCTAAAATTAGAAAATAGTCCATTAAAGCAATTTAAATTTTTTAAAAATGGAAATATAAACAGAAGAAACAAAGGGAATTCAAAAATAATGACAAACCTAAATTCAGACAATTCGAATAAAAGACATCAAGGTTATTTGACATATACATGAATGAACAATTCTGAATATAGAAAAGCTTTACAAATGAACATCTCTAATTATGGACAAGAAAATTAGGAAATCTCTCAATATGGACATCTCTCATTAAAGAAAACAAAAAAAAAATACAATATTTATAAAATAAAAAATTAAAGAATAAGTAATCGTTCAAAAAAACACGCTTTAACATAAAACCATATTAAAAAGTAGGAACTTAATTTTTTTGGATGATTCAAAATTAAGTTAAAGTGATTAATAAAAAAAAATCTTTTTTATGTAAATAAGTCTGGAGATCAGATAAAAACAATTATTCAAGGGTAATAAACTCTGCACCAAGACATCTTCTTCGGAGAACTTTACTGAAAAACTAATTTTTATTAATCATAGGTAATGTACGATTTTTTAATTTTTGGTAGATTTTTGAGGGTAGTGGTGCCGATTGAGTATCAGCACCGGTACGTGCCTGAGTCGCGGCTAATTGCGCGGTTGTAATTGCCATTGCGCCGGTTTCCGTACCAGACTTCTACCGAGTCTGTAAATCGGTAGGCTGGCGTTTGAACGGTACTTGGCGCCAGACTTCTACCGAGTCTGTAAATTTCCACACGTATAATATTTAAGTACTAATAAATTAAAATATTAAATCAGCACCGAGTTCGCTTAAACGATCCCTTTACTTCCCAAATCAATAAATTTAATGCAGAAAAAAATTTTTGAGCACACATATATTACAGTAGGCTATAATCTCTTAATTTAAATACTCATTTATAAATATTTATTACAGCATTAAAGATAATGTGATTTTTTTTGCTTTTATAAATAAGACAAAAATCAACTTAAGTAAAATTTTCAGTCTTTTTTTCATACCTAGGTAGTAAAATTTTATTATCTTGTTACAAAAGAGTATTATTGTATTATTTTTGACAATAAATTCAAAGAGTCATTGTTTCCTTCTTGGATCTGAATAAATACCTTCACTTAAAATCTCAGGAGTTCTTGGAAACTTGTTAAGGAAAAATCAATTAGTCAAGGGATCATTTAAATGATCTAACAAAATTCGCTAAATATGACCTGGCTTAGGATCTCTTAGACCCAGGACCCCTCTTCTATTTCCTCCGACCCTACAAAAGTAGAAGAACCAATGGCAAGCGCTGGTAGACTGAAAGAGGGGATAAGACCCTTAAAAATTTTTCGAAGAAGGGAGCAGACAAAGTTTACTTTCTAAATTGCTTCAAGAACTCAAATCATTCTTACGACAGAATTCAAAGTGCAAAAATCTTGAAATTCAAGACCAATCTTTTGTAAAGTACATTTGTGTATTATTCAATTACTCAAATACAAAAATGGCAGTGAACGTTTGTGATTTAAAAGAGATCCAAAAGTTAGTGAAATCCGGAGATTTGAGTGTTAACTCAATATTTTCTTGTGCTAAGTACAAACAAATAAGTGTTCTTCAGTTTGCAATCGTGAACTCATGCGACGAACTCATTGATATTTTATTGGAAAATCACGTTGATTTGAACATCAGCACTAAATTTTTGGGGACGGCGCTCCACGTAGCGATCAAGGAAAAGAAGCTTGACGTCGTGAAGAAGTTAGTATCGTCCGGAGCTGACATCAACATCATGCCAAGCTTCTATGAAACTCTGCCACCACTTCACCAAGCCATTGAAAGTGGTACCTTTGACATCACCGAGTTTCTAGTGAAGTCAGGAGCCGACGTTAACTTGGCACCTTATAAACTTAAATTACCATTGGGGTACTGCAACTGGTCTCCTTTAAATATGGCAATTTTATTAAAAAATATTCCAGTGATTGAATTGCTATTGAAGCACAATGCCATCATCGATCAAGAATCCAACCAACTACGCTCTTCTCTACAATTGGCTGTATTAGGTATCAGCAATATTGAGATTCTCCAAATTCTGGAGAAGTTTGGAGCGAAATTCAAGATTATCAAGGACAAGGAATACACTTTTGAGTTCAATGAAGCTGTGAACCAAGATAATGTAGAAATTGTTAAGCTTTTTGTTAAAAATTGTGACAATATTTTCGACATTTCTGATCAGCACGGTGATACCTTAGCTCATCAAGTTGTTGTGTTAGGCGGTAAAAATATTTTACGATATTTACTGGACTGTGGGATGAGTGTTAATGTGGTTAACAAGAATAATTCAACTTTACTTGATGTCGCTATGAACATAAATATTTTCCAGACTCTTAATCGTCGAACAGAGGATCAGTCTTTGGAAATATTAAAAATGATCGAGGATCACATTATTAAGTTATCCGCAGCAGGTTTATTTGTGAATGAAAAGAATTCAAAAGCTGTAGATAGTAAGCATTTCAAATCGTTCGATGAGAAATGCGAGAAGGAAATAATTGAATTGAAAACCAGAAAAATAAGTGACACTAATTTTAATTATTTTGATGTAGTAGTTAAAAATGTACATAGATTATCTGTAGGATTAAGACATTCAAACTTTTGTTTTAACGAAGACGAAATATTAACTGAATTTCGAGTGTATGGTAGCATTATAATTGAAAAAATGAAAAGAGCAGTTGAAAGAAAGGAACTGCTGAAAAATGCAGCAGAATTGTACAATATTTTTTATATAGATTTACCAGATTTAGTTATAAGAAATATTTTTAATTATTTGAATGACAAAGACTTAAAACTTTTGAGTAAATAATTGTATGTATATGTATGAATGTATATGAATAATATTGTAAATTTATTAACATAATTTAGATTAAAATTTTTTAGTGTAAATAATAAAATATTTTAGTTATTTAAACATAATTGATTTGATTTTTTATTCTTATATTTATCCCTACAACTTAGAAAATTTTTGTGTATATATCATTAAAAAATTTATGCATAGTATAGAATAAAATTTTTTATTCTAATTAAAAAATTTAACTATTAATAGTTATCTTAAAGTCTAATATAAAATTTAATCAATTAAAAATTTTTTTATATTTATTTCTAATCACTTTTTGACAGCTTAATTTTTAAAATATTTAATCATTTGATTTATTGACTTATAAAATTTTTAAGATATCAATTTATCTAAAACCTTTGGTATTATACAATGAAAAAAAAAAATTAGGAAAACGGTTGACCCTAAAGACCATCCCTGCAACTTCCCGCTTGTTCTATATCTAACCGCTTAAAATTGCACTAATGATATTTTTGAGCTTTTCGAGTTCAAAAATATAATTGATGTGTTATTTTAAGCTCTCCAAGCTCAATGAGTTAGCTGTTTTAAGTTTTTGAGCTTTTCGAGTTCAAAAGTCCGGTAGCACTTTAATAAAATCCTATTTTTGGAATTTTCAAACCGCAATAACTTCTGAAAAAATTATCCGATTGTTACATGGTTGACAGCATTCGATGCAATTTTTCAAATTCTATAATATACTTTTGATCACAAATTCATCAGACCGGAAATTCCAGTGTAATTCAAAATAATCACTTTTTTCGATTTTTTTAGTCAACGATAACTCACGAACGAATAATCAACCGATTTTCACCGGCTTGGCAGTGATCGACGTGGTTTTTTGATGTCAAGAGCGGTAAAGGCGTTTAAAAGTAATACCAAAAAATTTTTTTACATAGTTTTTTTTTTAGATTTTTCAAAATCTACCGATCCGTATCGGTCCAAATAGTATAGTATTCAAAATCTAAGTTAGGTCAAGCCCTTTCGAATGGACCATCGCTGGAATAGTCAGGGAAGCTTCCTAGGACCTCAAAACGTCTAGATCTAATGAAAACCCAATTTTCAAAAAATGGGGTAAAAACAATAACTTTCCTATTTTTGAAAATTTTTAATTTTCTTAGCGGGAAGTTAAAAATGAAATTGTTTATAATAAATATTTTTATCTGAGTATTAAAAAGAAAAGAAATAGGCATGAAATTTTAGCTATAAAAAATCCGGAAGACAACTTTTTTTTTAAATTAAAATATTAAAAAAAAAGTTTTGTAGCATTAATTTCTTTTAAAAAAAAAATTTTTTTTCAAGTGCCTTTTGATTTCAGGGACATAAAATTTTTGTATTTTTAATTGACAATTAAACTTAGTTTTATTTTATTTTTTTTTTTATAACAATTGATTTGTTATAAAGATTTCAAGAAACGCTAGATGTCTGCTAATTTTAGTATCATGACATTTATATATGTAAGTACTCTCTGTTAAAAAAATTATATAATTAAATAAATTTTAATTTTTTTGCTGTAAATATTTATAAAATTATTAATTACATTTGATTTTTATATAATTCAATTTATTATAAGAAAAATTTTTTAAATTGTTTTTATTAAAGCGCGCGCGCAATTGTAGGTATAGTTAGTTACAGTGTCATACCTTGCCAACAGTAGCCAATTGTTGCCTAGGCGCGACTAACCTCTATTCACATACATATAACTATAACCAGACATAATAACACTATAGGCACCACTGCAAGTTTTAATAATAGTTGTTTATATATACCATTATCTTATACGTGTTTGCTATTTATTTGTTTGTTTATCCTCGAACGAAAACCCACTGGAGTGTAAATGTTTTTAAATAAAAAAGTTAATATACTATGGATTACTCATTGTTAACACACTATGATGCAGATGCAGAAGTTGCTGATCAAAATCTATTGTGTAAGTGTTCTGTTTATTTACTATTTTCTTAAACTTATTAGCCATCGCTAAGTACTAAGTACTATTTTAATTTATTGTTTATTTATTTACTTTTGTTATCTTCTTTCATTAGGGGAAGAGTCGAACTACGAATTGCCAGAAGAATATTTACCTCAAACTGAGCAATATGGTGAAGAGTGCGACGGAGCCGAGTTTCGTGAGACTCACACTCTTCTTGCTGATGGTGGTGACAGGTTTGGAGTCTCTACTGTCACTTTTGACACCGTCGAGGAACTTATGTGGATGGGAAATCAAGGAGTACGTTTTTATTCATGATACTCAAATTTAAAAACATATGACAACTTTTTTTGTTAAAAAAAATTAAAAGAAAAATTCCACATGTAAAAATTTAAAAAAATAATAAGTGCAATTTTTTATAAAGATTTTTTTAATTCTGATTTAATTGATGGAAAAAATTGTCAAAATTTTGCTGATTTCAGTATCATTGTTATTTATAATTTTTTCGTAATGAAAAAAATTTTTTCGACGGTGATAAAATATTTTAGATATCTATTTTAAAATTAAATAATTACATTAATAAAAATTATTTTTATGATACTGAAATTAAATGATATTAAAGTTAGCAGTCATTTGATCATTATTAAATTGTTTTTTACAAATAAATTAGGTTCCGAAAAATTATTCTTACAAAATTGCATTTTTAATTTTTTAAAATTTCTACATGTCAATTTTTTTAATCATAATTTTTGTGTTACAAAAATTCTTAAAATTTGATAATGAAATTTTTTATATAAATTAATAAAATCTTGTAGGGTCACGTAACGTCGTACTATGGAGCAAATTTACAAAAATATACATCGTTTCAAGTACATGCAACCCAAGAAGTCCGTCATATTCATCCCATAGACGAAGGAATTCTTTGTTTAACACAAACTGCTCTCAGAGGACAATTACGCCGAGGAATTCCATTATTTACTCATACGTAAGTTTACATATTTTTTATTATAACACTCGACAGTTTTTGGATTTTACTTGAAAAAAAAAAAAAAAAAAATTTATAATAATTTAATTTTTTCGGAATTAAATATTATTATTATTTGTATCTATTATTAATTTATTTTAGTTTATGATGTACATAAATAATATATACCGTCAACTAACCCCAAATTCTATAAACGTATTCAAAGGAATATGTAAAAACTATTATAATATATTATAATGTTTTTTGAGAAAATATATATTTATGTATATTTTTATATACTGGAAATTTGAATAGCGCGCTACGCGCGCGCCTTAATCTTAACCAATAAGGATTCAGGGTCCATGTTTTCGATACTAAGCTAACTTCATTCTACCATCAATTTTAGTATATAGGATTTTATTCGGACTGATACAAAACACGTGTGGTAGGTTCAGAAACACTTAAATAAATAAATATATTGTGAATACAGTTGTCAGTTCTCACGCAAACATACGTAGATGTCCTTTTTACTTTGTTGGTACCTTTTTAGAAAAACTAAAATATTGACTTATAGCTAACTTCATCATGTCGGTTTTTCGTGACGGTGTGCGCGCGCATCGTAAAAATTTACCCTCATCATTTTTGCCTAACGCGCCAAAAGAAGTATAACTTAAAAAAAAAAAAATTAATTCTAGCTCCAGAAAATTATTTTTAAAAAAATTGCATTTATGTTATTACAATTTCTACGTATAAAATTAAAAAAAATTTTTTTTTCATAATTTAGTAATTGAAAAAAAAAATTTTTTTAATTATCAAATGTCTCTTAATTTCAATATCATTTTTTCTTGTATTTAAAGTGATAGTGACTTTTCATCAAAAACTAAAAGTTAAAATTTATTATATTATATTAATGAATTTCAGGTCACAAAATATGATAGATATGCAATGCATGTTACAATGTGGATCGCGATTACTAATGGGTGGTCATCAGGAAAAAATAATAGACTTTAACTTGACCCAAGGAAAAGAAACTGGATTTTACCATGTAGGTGAAAACGGGTGTGCGATATTGCGTCAGCATGGAAAATTTATTTGCGCTGGTAATCCTGTAGGTCGGATTGATTTACGGGACCCTAACTCTCTGACAATTGAGCATACTCTCGAAACTCATAGTGGTTCTTTGAGTGACTTTGACGTTCAAGGGAATTATTTAGTAACTTGTGGGTTCAGTAACAGGTAATCATTTTCACTATAATTTTCAAGGAATTATACGGACTACATCGATGAAACTATCATGACTTTTTCAGCCGTCAAGGATTGTCAGCGGATAGATTCTTGATGGTTTACGATCTACGACAATTACGAGCCTTGACACCAGTAACGACTTTAGTGTATCCGTTTTTATTGAAATTTCTCCCTAGTTACTCCAGTCGCTTAGCTGTTGTATCACCCTTGGGACAGATGCAATTATTGGATACTATTTATGCTGACGTCCAGCCATCACTTACCTGTCTTTACCAAGTTAGTATCCGTAGTTATTAACTAATTAATTTTTTTTTAATTATTAAAATACTAATCATGATTAATTACTAGGTAGCGACTGGAGGTGCAATGACACTATCTTTTGACGTATCACCGACGTCTAAATGTCTAGGTTTTGGCGATGCTGCTGGTTCTATACATTTGATGGCTACTAATGCGCCCAATCCTCAATTCAATACATTTTCTAGGTACATTTCTTTTTTATTGATCAATAAAATATCAAATTTCTTGCAACATTAATCACAATAATAATAATGATAATTGGATAGATGATAATTGTTTTTAAAACTGAAAACACTAAAATGTTCCAATTTTTTTAAATTTTTCGTTTTTTTGTAAAAATTCATTGAAAAAATTTTAATAAAATTTTCAACTTCTTGTTAGAAAAATTGAAAATTTCAAAAAATTTAGCTGTGGTAGTGTATTCAATCTAACTTACAAAATTTATTTATTGGTTATATCTCGGCGTTTTGAAGTCCTTAAAAGCTATTTTAACTATTTTTTCATATACGCTCTTTTGGTTAAAAAAATTTTTTTTTCTGAAAGCCAAAAGGGTGTATGTCGAAAAAAATTTTTTTTTGCGTTTTTCAACTAAATTTTTATTTTCACACATTCTCCATTTGATTAGAGAAAAAAATTTTTTTTATACGGTAAAAGACCCAGTTATTGACACTGGCCTAGTTATTGACACATGTAATTTTATTCTAATTAAAAAAAAAAAAAAAAACAAATCAACTCTAATAAATTAATAAATATAATTTTTTAATTATAAATTTTAAGAAAATTGGTTTTTTGAGAACATTTAATTTTTTAATTAGAATAAAATTGCAAGTGTCAAACAACTAGGCCGGTGTCAATAACTGGGTCTTCTATCTTATGCCCTTTTGGTTCAGCAAAGCCAAAAAAGCGTACATTTTGAGATACACGCTTTTGGCATTAGTGATGCGGTATGGGTAATCATTTCAGAGGGAATTTCATTTTCTTTAAGCTCATAGAATTCAATCTTTATTATTATTATTATTATTATTATTAATTAATTAATTAATTATTTTTATTCCTTAAAGACTCACAGAATTTGCTGATCCCGTCGAGACATTAGAATCAATGTCAATCGACGATCAAATGACATCATTAAGCACAGTGCCAATGATGTACGGAGATCACTCACTAGCCAGTGATTGGCCAGAGCAATTTTTAAGAAAAACATATCGGTATGTATTTTTATTTTTTTTTTTTACTTTATTAGAACCATGAGCAAAATATAAATCAATTTGCGTAGAAAAACGCCAGCAATAGATCCAGAAATATTGCGAACTATGAAAATGCAAGGAACAATCGGGTACGCACCGAACCCCCAGGCATTCCGGCGCAATCAAGTGAGAAAAAATTACAAATCTTATCTCTACACAATTCACAATTTCTAAAAACTTACCTCAATATTTTTTATAATTCCTCTTTCACTTATTGCATATGATAAATATTTATCTATTTTATTAAAAGAAGTATATTGTAGCACATTAAGACATTTCTATGGCTGTTAATCATTACCAAAGTATATTTAAATAATTAATTATAGAGACTTATCATTTATAATTAATTATTAAATTTATTACTAATGTATAAGTTGTAATTTTTGGAATAAACGGTTGAAAATTTAAGTTGAATTTTAATAATAGCTGCAGGTCTCCTTTTTCAAACATTTTTTTATTAGTCATTTTTTTTTTTAGTAATTGAATTTGTGTTGTAGTTTATTAATACCTAACTCATTTTTTCTTTTTCTTTTTTTTCTTGGATTTATAGGTACCATATAATTTAGAAAAACGACATGGAATCGTAACAAAGCTGTTTTCTGGTGAACCGAGGGCTAAAAATGAAGACAATACTTTCATTGCCATTCCAAAACGTTACCGGAAAATAGAAGTCAAGTACTCAAGACTTGGGTACGATGAATTTGATTTTGATCAGTATAATTTGACTAGTTTTTCGGGATTGGAAGCTACTTTACCTAATAGTTATTGTAATGCTATGTTACAAGTAAGTTTTATTAATTTTTTGATTTATTTTTTATTAACAAATAATGTAATATTAAAATATAACAAAAAATTTATTTTAGTTATTATATTACTGCGAGCCAATAAGAGTAGCAGTGATGTCTCACGCATGTCAAAAAGAATTCTGTTTATCATGTGAACTAGGATTTTTATTCCATATGCTTGATATCTCCAAAGGTTCACCGTGTCAGGCAGCTAATTTCCTTCGAGCTTTTCGTACTGTACCAGAAGCATCAGCTCTAGGACTTATACTCAGCGATTTGCATCCTGAAGCTCGAAAAAAGACTAGCCTCATCCGTCTAGTCCAGGTAATTTATTTTAGATTTATTATTATAAAAATTACAATAATAATAATAATAATAATAATATTATTATTATTATATAGTTCATTTCTTAGACGGAGTTTTTTGCTGCTAGATTTCTTTTAATTCATTACTTAACTTGAAAACTGAAATATCATGTTAAATTTTAAGATAGTATCTGCGATTAGAGATTTACCGTTCAGAATTAGCTCAAATTTGATATATTAGTGAATTATACTAACATAATAAGCCCACTAAATTTTTGAAAAACTCAAGAGAACTACTAAAAAATATTGATCGTTAAAAGTTTTAGGGTCAAACATCAAGTCTTATGAGAAATGAAAGTTTTTATTTTATTTAACAAAGAATAGTACTATTTTAAGTTTCCTGCTATTGACGAAGAATGTGCAAAAAATGAAAAAATATGTTTTTGTTATAAAGATTAATTGAAAAAATTGCAACGTCATTCGTTGACAGTAAATTTAACTCTATCAATGAGTGGAGGAGGTTTTTGGCTAGTGGTGTGTTAGCGCAACGAGCAGAGAGTGTGTGCTGACACACGAGTGTTAACAGCTGATGATAAGGACTGGTGGGTTATTAATAAATAATAGATATATTCGTGGTTATAAATGTTAAGTATATTACAAATTAAAGTTACAATATATAAGTACAAGATACACGTCCGTTTAGGATGGTGTACTGGTATGAACATGAACTAACTACTATAGTTAAATGGACAATCGTCATCAGTACATACTAATACATTTTGGAACATTCGGGAATATACTAGCGCTATGAACCTTGCTCCTCATTATCCTCTCTCAAAGTACATAGTGCGTGCACAGTAATCCAAGCTATTCACACTATTTACAATGCCTATGTTACTCACATCTATCACTCTACATGCATACTCATTTTTTACAAAGTGATGTCTAACATCTATATGCTTAGTACGCTGGTGACGAAGCCTCACTAAAAAACTAAAAAAGATGACTCATTAGTATTTCTCGCACTGTTATACAGTCTTTTATTTCTTTCTGGGCAGTTCTTTGCAATGTGCCCCCTCTTATGACACTTGAAACATTCGACTTCCCGCCGAAAATTCTCATCCCGAGAACTCAACGCCTTTGGCTTTCCGCCATGTTGTCCACGTTGTTTCCTCTGGTTATACCTCGAGTACATTACTCCTTGTGCTGGTTTAACATGTTGTTCTGCATGTCCCTCCTGGTATTCCAGAATTTTGACCCTGAGCTTGTCCAGTGATGGTAACTCCTTCTGTGTTTCTATCGATATCTTAAATACTGAATAACTTTCTGGTAAGCTGTTCAACAACAAGATCACCAACATCTCATTAGGTATCTCCAGTTTGATCTCTCGCAGTCTTGTTACTGTCTCGATAAACTCGGTGATGTGTTTCCTCACATCATCCCCCTCTGTCATCTTCGACAAAGTCAGCTTTTTCAACAGGTACGCTTTCCACGCCGGTTCTCCAGATTTATATTCATATGTCGCCTTGATCTTATCCCAGATTTCCTTCGACGTCTCCAAATCATCATACGCTGCTGCTTCGTCTGTCCCCAACGCTATCAAAAGATCTGCCATCGCCTTTTTGTCTTTTTTGATCCACGCTGCAATTTCTTCTTGTCCTGACGTTGGTTTGGTTTTTTCACCAATGACAAACTCCCACGTTTCATGACTCATGAGAATAGCTTTCATCTGTGTTTTCCACGATCTGTAATTCTCCCTGGTAAGAGGATCTATTTTAGTTGAAAAAGCCATTTTTACTGATCACTTAACAACCACAAATTGACACTATCAACTTTTACCCTACTTACAGCAAACAACGGCTTTCCCGCCAAATTGTTCGAGCTCCTACACCTAGTGTCACACAATGACGAATTCCACGCTATCGAAACTTCTCGATGCTTCCCGCGCGTTTTTCAGGTGCTTCTAATTAATTCCTTTATTTATTAATAACCAGTTTGTTACTGGGTTATCTGGGTATCTGGGCCCATAACCTGATGATTAGGACTGGTGAGTTATTAATATACAATAGATGTATTCGTGGTTATATAAGCGTTAAGTATATTATTACAAGTTAAGGTTACAATATATAAGTACAAGATACACGTCCGTTTAGGGTGGTGTACTGGTAGGAACTAACTACTATAGCTAAATGGACAATGGTCATCAGTTCATGCAAATACATTCTGGAACATTCGAGAATATATATTAGTGCTATGAACCTTGCCTCTCAACAAAAGGATTATCTATTAAGTTTATACATAATGAAATTTCATTATAATGACAATAATAATAATAACAATAATAATAATAATCAGTGAGTTGATAGCATAAATTTTTACTACAGAGTTGGAACAGATTTATTCTTCACCAAATGCACTATGAAATCTACGATACCCGAAAGCGTCAGCAAGAAGAGGAAGAAGCAGCCCGATTAAAATCCGGTACGAAATACGCTCCTTTTGTTTACAATGAACAAGATTTCCCTAGTATTTTACAGGATCTAGGCTCGCGTTACAAGACTACCGAGTCTGACAAAAAGAAGAAAAGAAAACAAGACGAGGATGGTAAATATATGTGGATCGCCGCGAAAGGTAAACACTTTTAATGTGTACCTTTGCATCGAACACTATTTATTTTTATTTTTTTCGTTAATCCAATGATTTTTTTTTACATCAGTTTTGACTTCCAACAACACAACACTTAGTAATTAGTAAACCTATCAAGTATACCCGTAGTATAATCGCACATTATATTTTAACACCAATTTTGTTTATACTTTTCCTTTTTTTTTTTTCATTAGAAAACACCAATAAAAAGGAAGAAGACGCAAGGGAAGAAGAGACGGACATCAGTCGGATTTTTGGTGCTGAGCAGATTCATGTTCATCGTTGTCTTAAGTGTAATCGGGAAGCTTACAAAAATTCAATCATGCTGCTGTCTAATCTAATTTATCCTGAGAACACCAGTCCTAGTAAGGAATTACTTCATTTATAATTACAATAATAATTTTTTTTAAAAGAAGAAATTATAATTTTTTTATATTTTTTTAGATGAAGAAATACCATTTACTAAAATATTAACACGGAGTTTAAAACCGGAAAAAGTAACACCCGCGTGGTGTGAAGGTTGTCAAAAATTCAGTCCCACATTGCAATCAAGACAAATAACGAAATTACCGCAAATATTGGTATTGAATTGCGGATTGGATTCTCAACAGGTAATTTAATTTAATTTTGCATAGCGTAAAAATGTTGTGAATAGCTTCAATTTTTTTACTTTTTTTGTTTTGATGACTTTTAGAATTACATTTTATCATTTTTTGACAGGAAAAAGACTTTTGGCAGACACAGATGAATATTATTGTACAAAAAGTAATGAATGGTAAAGATAGTAGCCCGTCTTCGAGCCCGGTTCCTAGTTCTGTGAAAATGTGTCGATATGGATTGAATTGTATACGCGCCGGATGCAGATTTCGACATATTGGTAAAGATGCCGGTAAGATTAAATTAAACAATATTAATAAGTTAGTTCTTGGTTTCTCTGCTAGGTGGCCGGCGGCTCTCGTTTTCAAAAAAATCTTACCAGAGTATATATCAAGGTGACGCAAAAAACCGGCTATTTTTTTTCTTCGAGTTGATTATGAAAATTTGTTAGTTTATAATGTTTTAAGGTAGTTCTTTCTCAACCTATAGTTTATGCTACTGCTGTCTTTGTCACTCGCTAGTGTCGCCTCTCTTACGGGCTATTGCTCATTTACTTCCACGCATGACTTTATTTGTTTGCTTTACTAGTTTATCAAAAACTATGTGGTAGGGAATTCTAGAATTTTGTAGGGTAATTATACATGTATTAATAATCTAAGTAATATTAGTTTTTCGTAAAATTCTTAAAATTTTTTCAATACAAAAATAATAAAACTTCGTGGTTTTCTCTCTCTTTTCCATACCGCCTGTGTAAAAATGTCATTTTCAATTGCAATTATCTTCAGTTAAACGTGGTAAATCGTCTAAATTTTAACAGTGTGTATATTATGTATTTAAATACTTCGATACGAAATTTGGGAGATTTCTTGAATAATTGCTTTTTGGGCCCAACTACCTTAAGAGCTTTCGTCAAAAATCAGCTCGATAAAAAATTTTTTAGGGCTCGCTCAAGATTTTTAAAACTTTCAAAGTAGAGTTATAAAATGTTTCTATCAATTTGACATACTCAACAATTAATTTAATTTTTCACGACTATATTAATTAATACACTAAACAATATAAATAAACCACCAAATAAATAAATAAAAGCCTGACAAAATAATTATTACTACTGTAATTTAATTACATATTCATCCAGCATCTGAAGAAAGTTTGAAAAATCTTTAGCGACTTCTATAAATAAAAATTTCGACTTTTAAGAATCTTGATAGACCCTAAAAAATTTTTTTCCTACTAATTATTGGGACAAATTTCTCAAACTAACATATTTTTATAGAAAACTAAAAAAATAAAGCCGTTTTTTTTTGTACCACCTTTATGTATCTCTTGTTTATTTTTAATATATTTCAATTATAATAAAAATATGTAGAAAAATTTGTGAAAATTACCGATTGATAGAAAGCCCTTAAAAATTTTAGTTTTGCTGATTTTTGAAGGTATTTTAAAACATGGCAAACTAAAAAATTTTCTCAAAAAACTTGAAGAAAAAAAAATAGTCTGCTTTTTTGCGACGACCTAATGTAGATGAATTTAGAAGTACGGAATAGAAACTAGACCTAAAAATTAATAATTTTTTACAGAAGTAACACAATCGTCACCATCAACACCTTCTACTACCCCAATTCAGATAACGGTACCCCCAAGCCACCTTTACTACTCTCACTCTTGGATTCCGCACTGTATAGAAGTGTCATTGAACGAAAAAGGCGAGTTAGACGTGAACAAACTCGACGAAATACCTCCAGCCCGTCCAGCCAGCAAGCCTGTGGTAGAAAACGGCCTGAGTGACCACTCAGTACCTGAAGATCCAAAATATTCCAAGAGGAAAGAGTCACTGGATAATGACAAGCAAGCTGACTTGGAAAACGAAACTAAAACAGAAACTTCTGATCCCAATTCAAATGAAAACCCGAGTGAAGAAGGTCCACAACAGCCCGTAGAACACACGGAAAAAATTCAGTACATTTTAACAGCTGTGGTCTGTTACATAGACGATAAAAGCAGCGAAGACCGAAAGCATGTAGTGACTTTGATTCGTGTTGGTCCTAATTACCATGAAAGATCCACGGGAAGTGCAGTAGCGCAATGGTATCTGTTTAATGATTTCAGCATTACAGCAGTCACTCCTCAAGAAGCTGTTTGGTTCAACTTGGACTGGAAGGTTCCATGTGTGCTTCATTATACCGCGGTCAGTGCTATTGAATCGGTACCGTTTGTTTCGCCGTTGACGTGTGATGTTTTTGGAGAAGACAAATGTATTGCAAGGAGTGGTGGCACTCGGGGAATTACTTTTACTCCCCTTACTTCTGATGAAATGCCTAATAAAGGTAATATTATTGTTATTATTATTCTTCTTAATGAATTATTTTTTCAAAATTCATTTCTTCTTGGATTAAAAAATTAAAAATTTAACTTTTATATTCATTAATATTGTAATCATAATTAATTTTTAATGAATAATTAATGAGAATGATAAAAAATTGAAATTTAAAAAAATGTAAAATGAAATTTTTATAAAAAAAAAGCTGCATTGTTTAAGAAGTGTCTTAGCGTGAAGTAAACGTCTTTTTATTCAAATCTTGAAAATCAGGGTTCGATTCCCGGCGATATTTATTTATTAGAACATAAATATTATATTTTTTTTTTTTTTTTTCCAACAATGGCATGCTTTAAGCGCGAGCGTAGGTATGCTCTACTCTTGCCTAAAAATGAAAAAATTGAATTCCGTCAGAGTTTTATTTAAATAAATAATAATACAGTGGTTAAAGTCGGTCGACCTTCGTACTACAATAAAAGAAAACATCAATGGTCATTTTTCTAAACAATAAACCACTGGTCCAACCCACACTTTAGATAAAAAATGAATTTTTCAGAAAAAATCCTGTAAAGTTCATGTAACACTATTTTTGTAATCACCATAACTTTCGAAAAACAAAACTAGTTCTTTTAAATTTTATTTCAATATGTCCATAAATTAATTGTGACAAACTGATTAAAAGACCACCACTCTATCATTATTCGTTTGATTATAAAATAATAAAATGTGTACTGTCGAAGCTAAAAAATTTACATCTTAGGCTGCCATAGATAAAAAAAATATATAAACAGAGTTAGTGAAAATTTAGATTTTCCAAACTTTTTATTATTATTATTATCATATTCTTATTTATTTATTTATTTATTTATATTATCATATCATATTTATTCTTAGTGAATGCAATAAATTTTTTTTTAAATTTATTTCTTCTTAAATTCAAAATTAAAAAATGCCTACTTTTACATTTATTAATGACATTAATTATAATCAATTTTTTATTAATAATAAATAGGAACAATGAAAAATATTGTATATTTGGAGAAATATAAAATGAAATTTTTATTAAAAAAAAAATTTATTACTCGAAAAATATCTTAGCTTGATGTAAAAGTTTTTTTATTTAAATCTGGAAAATCGAGATTCGATTCCTGGTGGCATTCATAAATGACTTACAGTCAAAACCGTTTACAGCGACATCGCTTACAACGACGAACCGGGTATAACGACGAAATTTCAAGGTCCCGTCTTAATGCAATATAAAACCTTCAAGCTTAAAACTGTTTATAACGACATCGCCTATAACGACAAATCGCTCATAACGACCATGGTTGAACCATCTTTTCGAAGAAAAATATCGTTTATAACGTCTAAGACATGCTTTTGCACTTGTATTTAGGTCTGTATTTGTTTTTCAGTAATTATATTTATAACGTCACAAGTTGTATTGATGGTCTGTAATTTTTTCTGGTTTAATAAATAATAATAATAATAAGAACTTTGTCTTGATTCAAGAATTCTTGTCTTGCTCTAAATAAAAAAAAATTAATGTTAGTTTCTGGTTTCACCACTAGGTGGCTACGCCTTCTCGCTGCCAGAAATTTCTAACCAAGGTATATATAGGGAACACACTTTTTTCAAATTAATTTCATAATTGAAGAACTATTTAGAAATTATTATTATTATTATTATTATTATTATTATTGCTATAAAAATAATAATAATAACAAACTATCAAAATGATGACTTAGAAAAATTTCATAGTTAGTTAATTAAAATTATAAATAATTAAATATTCAGATAAGATTAAAAAAATTTTACCTTGGGATATTTTTAAAAATTTAACTATCAATAATTATTATCAAAAATTTTTAATTATTAACATTAATTGAATCAACAACTTAAATATAATAATAATAATAATAATAATCACTAAATTATTATTAATTACAGGTGATTTAGTAGGAATTGACGCAGAGTTTGTTACTTTAAATCAAAAAGAATCTGAAATAAGAAGCGATGGCAAAATGTCGACTATTAAACCAAGCCACATGTCTGTTGCACGTATTACTTGTATCCGCGGGTAAGTAATTCCTTCTCAACAAATGAATACTGTAGAACTGTAAAAAGTAATAAGAGTAAATAATTATTTTGAATTTATCAAACAGTCAAGGACCTCTAGAAGGCACACCATTCATCGATGATTATATTAGTACGCAAGAACAAGTCGTCGACTACCTAACTAAATTCAGCGGTATCCAACCTGGTGATTTAGACGCTAATTTCAGCAGCAAGCACTTGACAACTCTCAAGTCGACTTATCAGAAGTTGAGATTCCTTGTCGATAACGGTATCATATTCGTTGGGCATGGATTGAAGAATGATTTTAGGCAAGCATTGATTTTATACATAACCTAAAAGAAGTATATATTTAATTATTAACTACTAACAACTTGCAGTCATTATCTGACTGCCGAGATTTACGGATTATGAATAAGAAAATTTTTGTTTAATGATTTTTTTATATTATTAATCACAATATACATAGTTTGGGTAGTTTTAAATAAATTTGAAAAATAGGGCCAGTTTTTCAATCCAGGATAAAATTTATCCCAATGATAAAATATATTTATATATTTCATATATATAAATATACTGGTAATAATAATTTTATCCTGGATAAAATTTTATCTTAGATTGAAAAACTGACCCTTCTCTTATTTAAATAAATTAGTTTTTGACATGTAACCATATTTACATTTATAAAATAAAACAAATAAATAAAGAAATTACGGTCAAAACCTTTCCAATGATACTAAATTTAATTTAATAAAGGCCATTCGGCAGCCGAAATGGAAGTAGATTTTTCAAATAAAGAAAATTTATTTTTTGTAAAATAATAATAATAATAATAATATATAATTTAATTCATTGATTAAAAAAAAAAAAAAAATTCAATAATAAATTTAAAACTAATTTTATTTAAAAAATTTTCTTGTAAAGTAAATAGTGTCTCGAATATTTATCAAACAATTTTAAAGATTATGAGATGTTATTTATCAATGTCCAGATTTTAAGTGACTGCTTAGAAACGATAGTTTGCAAGTTAATCAGAATTTTGGAACCGGATGAAATTTTAATTAAATTATATTTAAACTTTTTTTTTTTTAATTTTATGAATTATTTATAAACTTTTGAACGAAAGATATTTTCTGACTCAGTTTATCGAGCTGAGTCAGAAAATGGCTGAATTTTCAAAAGTTGCGCCATGAAGACGGCTGCAATAGTTAGATTTTTATAAAATCTATTAAAAACTCATTTTATCATATAAATACGCCGGATACAAAATTTTCCTTATTCTCTTAATCATATAAGTTATTTATTTTTCAGAGTAATTAATTTAGTGGTACCACCTGATCAAATCGTGGATACTGTATTATTGTTCCATTTACCTCATCGCCGTATGGTTTCCCTCCGGTTCCTAACCTGGCACTTTTTGGGTAAGAAGATTCAGTCTGACACCCACGACTCCACTGAAGATGCGCGTGCAGCGCTGGAACTATATCGTAAGTACAAAGAACTGGAAAGCAATGGAACTATCACAGAATCGCTGAAAAAATTGTATGATGTCGGAAATGAGCTCTTCTCTTATTTAAATAAATTAGTTTTTGACATGTAACCATATTTACATTTATAAAATAAAACAAATAAATAAAGAAATTACGGTCAAAACCTTTCCAATGATACTAAATTTAATTTAATAAAGGCCATTCGGCAGCCGAAATGGAAGTAGATTTTTCAAATAAAGAAAATTTATTTTTTGTAAAATAATAATAATAATAATAATATATAATTTAATTCATTGATTAAAAAAAAAAAAAATTCAATAATAAATTTAAAACTAATTTTATTTAAAAAATTTTCTTGTAAAGTAAATAGTGTCTCGAATATTTATCAAACAATTTTAAAGATTATGAGATGTTATTTATCAATGTCCAGATTTTAAGTGACTGCTTAGAAACGATAGTTTGCAAGTTAATCAGAATTTTGGAACCGGATGAAATTTTAATTAAATTATATTTAAACTTTTTTTTTTTTAATTTTATGAATTATTTATAAACTTTTGAACGAAAGATATTTTCTGACTCAGTTTATCGAGCTGAGTCAGAAAATGGCTGAATTTTCAAAAGTTGCGCCATGAAGACGGCTGCAATAGTTAGATTTTTATAAAATCTATTAAAAACTCATTTTATCATATAAATACGCCGGATACAAAATTTTCCTTATTCTCTTAATCATATAAGTTATTTATTTTTCAGAGTAATTAATTTAGTGGTACCACCTGATCAAATCGTGGATACTGTATTATTGTTCCATTTACCTCATCGCCGTATGGTTTCCCTCCGGTTCCTAACCTGGCACTTTTTGGGTAAGAAGATTCAGTCTGACACCCACGACTCCACTGAAGATGCGCGTGCAGCGCTGGAACTATATCGTAAGTACAAAGAACTGGAAAGCAATGGAACTATCACAGAATCGCTGAAAAAATTGTATGATGTCGGAAATGAGCTTCAGTGGAAGGTAATTTCATATTTAGACATTAAAATAATTTTATTTATTGAAATAATTTATTCATGATTAAATATTAAATATTCTAGGTGCCGGAAAGTTGATCTACCAGTAATTTAACTGAAGTAGAATAAATTTAGTATAATTTATTTAACAACTATTTTAATGTCGACTTTCGTGTCTGTTTTTACAACTACTCGTTATTAATTATTCATTTTTTACAACTGATTCTACGGGTATTTAATATTTTATTTATTATATTACACAAAGTCGATTTTAATTGAGAATTTTTAAGAGATTATTTTGAGATTATTTTTAAGCGAATGCACAGTCGTTGTATAACGGGTACATTTACATACAACCGGAGTCATATAATACAACCAGTCTGAAATAGAAGTAATTATTTTTTATGGTTTTTTTAAACTTAAACATTACTGTTATTATTGATATTATTGATCAAAAATATTTTTTATAATCAATTTTACCTCAGAATTCATCATACGTAATTTGTATTTAAATTGTTCCAAAAAAATGAACAAGAATTTCAGACTCCGGTTCTATAAAATGTGTCGATGTTTTAAAATAGTGTACAATTTGTTGCGCTGTGAACAAAATCCTTGTAAATAGTATTTTTTTGGTCTCAATTTTTTTTTTTCACAATTTATAATTGTAAATACCTGAATCATGTACATGTTATAACTTATCATAAGTGTTTTTAACTTTTGTGTTTTTACATCAATTTTTTATATAAAAATTATACAATTTTTTAAATTCACGCGCATTTAAAAAAAAAGTCTGTAATTTTAACATAAAATTGTACACTATTCCAATATTTTTATATACGTAATTTTTTTTCTTTTTATACACAAAGAATATATTTTTGGACTCATCCAAAAATTTTTTTGATCCAAATTGTAATCTCTTGTATCACATGTTATATGTGTGAATTTTCAATAAATGTTTTTTTTTTTTTATAAAATAATTCTATTATGTCTATTTTTTTTTTAAATTTTTAAACAAAGGAAGAGAGGCAATGAGTCAATACAAAATGATGTAATAAATAGATTACTTATTATTTGTTTTAATATTAAAATCTTAGTCTGTATTTACACATCAGTTCTAATTATTAATTAAACAATTAATGAATAAATTAAGTTATTTATACTCCGTATGGAGTGTTAAAAAATAATCACTCATTAATAATTATTGCAAGTTAATTGGATTAAATTATAAATAAAATACAATAATAATAATAATAATAATAATTATTATTATTATTATTATTATAATGAATTAATTTACAAAATTATACACGCAGCCAAATTTTCCCATTAATATCTATGAATTAAATATTAAATATACTGACATTAAACTTAACATAAAAAAAAAATAATAATCAGCACCTGGCAGTTAAAAATTTACAAAAAAGAGATCTTAATATTAAATTCAATGTCAATTGTTTAAATAAAATTTAAAAAACGTAAACTTCTGCAGTTAACAAGTAGTTAAAGTTTAAAAAATTAATAAATCAAAATATATATATATATATATATATCTACTTATATATTTACTGTTTTTTTAAGTGGAGAAATGTTTCTTGACTAGAAACTTGTAAAAAACTACCGCAGAAGTACGATTGGCAGTTAATTCAACCATAATTATCATGTAATAAAAATTGGTCATAGAAAAGGCACGATTTTAAATGATAGTCTTAAAACAATTTTAATAGTAATTGTAATAAGTAATTATTGCTTATATGAATGATGGCTACTATTAATTAATAATATATATTAATATTTGTGATAAATGACTGTTAAGTCAAGGCACATTGCAGTACTTATGTACAATTTTTTAATCTTTATAAATAACTTTTTCAAGTTATCAACCTAGAAGTTAATATTAGAGATGATCATCACCGTGTTGAAAATGTCCATTACGATTTAATGGTTGTCTTTCAGGTACGTCACTCGGTCGATTCCTCTTAAAGAATCCACACTGTTAAAAAAAAAAAATCATTTATTAACATTAATCAAATTAAATTTGACAATAAAGAAAAATTGATAAAATTTGCAAGCCTTAAGCGCTTGTGTCAAACGTGAATTGATCGAAGTAAAGTTCAGAAAATATACAACAATTTTTTACTAACAACCAATACTATTTTCTATTCTAATAAATTTATATCAAACATCGATAGAAAAAAAATAATTATCTACTGCACACTAATAAAATTAATTAAAAAAATAATTTTAATAAGTTAATTACAAACAAATGACAAGAAATTTATTTTATTTACAATTCAATTTTAAAGCTTGTTTAAATTTTCCTACGGATAGTATTTTTTTATACAAATTGAACGCCCTCTTTCGTTCTGATAACTGAATCATAAAAAAAGAACCAATTAAGTATAGTATGTCTTCAAGCTATGTCGCGTTTCAGATGCCATAACTGCCATAAGGGAATATACCGGCAAAAGGTCCTGGTGAAAAGCCATAAGGGTGTATAAAAAATTTTTCTTTTGGGAACTGACATATTTTTTCATGAAATGTGCAGATAATATGCAAAAAATAGAATTTTTATTATACACCCTTATGGTTCCCGGGTGCCATAAGGGTGTATAATTTTTTTACGCCCTTATGGCATCTGTAACGCGATATTTACAAATAAATTTTTATACCTGGCTACTCAAAGAACAGAAAATTTCTTCAACTTCCAGCCGAAAAAACTTAATTACAATTAAATAAAACAATTTTAAGATGCAATTTTCATTTCGCAGCTTGACATCAAACAGATGAGGAGATTAAAAAATAAATTTAGTTAAAAATTTGATTTTTTCAAAATTTTTCGGGTTTATCTCTTCATAAATACTTTAAAATTCCACACCTAGCTAATAAAACCCCTTTTTTGTATAAATATATCAATTAATCGATTTAAAGAAAAATTTTGATTTCATCGATGATTTTTTCTTTCTAACATGATTTTCTTTTAGCTTTTTAGATAATTTATATGTACAATATGACTATCAGGTACGATTTAATGTGACAAAAACCTTGATTTTTAGATGATAATAGATGATTTCGCACTTGCGCTCAAGGCATGCAAAATCACTGAAAATTTAACATAAAAAACTTACCTTATGAAGTAAGAAAATAAGTAGTAGCAAAATAATAGTTCCAGCACAAGCCGACAGAACTACAACCCACAGCGGAACGACATCTGGCTCCGGAGCTCTAGCAGTAGGCTCAACATTCGTGTAAACCTCATGACTTTTAACAACTTCCCCAGCAGGTTTTCCAATGAAGGGTAACTTAGTGACCCTTGCCACCAACTGGGTGGAAACCTTCACCGCTTCATTAGCTGCGATCTTCTTCAACGTCGTCCCTCTAACTCTGTACCTGGCACTGATAGAAACTTCCTCATCCTTCTCCAACCTTCCCAAGGTACACCTCAAACGCACGCAATTAGCAGCTTCACACATCGGCAGAATTTTCTCCTCTTTAATTTCTTCAGCCTCGTTAATTTCTTCATAACCTTCAAACTGTCTCTTCCCCCTACTCGTCTTCTTCTTGATCTTAAAATCAATACTCCTAGTGTACCTCGAATCATCTTCGTAATTCTCATCTTCATAATCATCTTCCTGACCGTCTTCCTGATCATTTTCCTGGTGATTCTCCACCAGCTGGCTCTCCAATCTCGTCTCATAAGTTTCAATCTTCTTACCATAGTGCGTATTAGTCGTTTGTCGCCAACTATTTTCATGAGTCTTGACACTTCCTTCAACAAACTCATCATTCTTGTCTCCTTGGTCAACATTATGAGTACTGACAGTCCCCAAATTATAGGTTCTCTCTTCGTACCAAGAACTCTGTAGAGGGAACCGCCGGTCATCGTCAATGCGACAGTAGGCCCTGCCATCTTCTGCCTTAATGATCTCACCTTCTATTCTCATGAATCTTTTATCGACATTGCTGTTCCTAGAAACAAAACTCTGCTCTCCAAACCGATTCTTTAACGGGAATATCGAACCGTCCTTAAACTCAACATACTCTTTGCCATCTTCAGACACCCGATACCTGCCCAAGAACTGCAAGAACCTCTTGCCTTGTCGCTGATAAACTTCATAACCTACCGAGTCAGACAAAGTTCCCAAAAACTTCTCGAGATCCTGAGTTGAGGTTATGTTTCTCAACCTCAATCCAAATCCCGTCTTTCCTACCTTATCATCTTCATATTTCTTCTCACTCCCGTAAACAAATTCACGGGAGCCCAATTTCTGTTCTTGCCTTCTCCTTTCTTCTTCCAAAAGCCGCGTAGTTTCTTGTCTCTTTCTTTCTTCTTCTTCCAAAAGTCGCGTAGTTTCTTGCCTCCTTCTTTCTTCCTCCACCAACCTATCTTCTTCCCGCCTCCGTTCTTCTTCAAACCTCCGTTCTTCGTCATCATATCTTCTTTTTCCTTCGTCCCTGGACTCTGACCAAGTTTGCGTCACCTTGACGTTAGTTCTGCCTCCGGTGTTCACATAGCTGTCGTCGGTAATAACAGAATCTCCATTACCACCATGATAGATAGCATGGGATTCATTTTTATCATAAAAATTTCTGCCAGTTTCCCAAACTTTATCATCATGTAGGTTAGGAAGCAATGGTTCCTTTGTTGTCTGGATTGAACCAATCGCGTCGCTTATTCCCAAACTACTGATTCCAGTTTCAGTGTGAATTATCACAGGATTTTCATTTTTCAATCCAGAAGTGGATTTAGATCCCTGGAACGAAGATTCAGAACCTCTTGATGAGGTTAAAACAGTTCCAGATGAGACAGAACCTCCTGAAAAAGTGGATTCAGTTTTTGAAGTCTTCCATTGATTACTTCGTTCGGTAGCAGTTTCATAGCCAGTATGAACATTAATAGGCTTACCAGAGCCAACTAAATGCTCATGAACGATTCCTGATGAATAATAATTAACATACTGTCGTCGTCTTTGTTCTAGCTTCAAACTCAGCGGGTTTGAGTTCGCAGTAGCACACACCAGAGGGCCAGTAGTCTCTGGTTGTTCCAACAAGTAGACCAAGTCGTCTTTTGCTAGAGTAGCAGCAGGCCAAATTAAAAAGACTTCGGCTTCTTCAATTCTTGAAGGACCCAAATTGCGAATTGTGTAATTGTGAATGAAAGCTGGTCCGTATTCAACGTCAGTGGTTGCGTTGATCACGGTGTAATTATCGGGATTGTAATAGACATCTTTAGGCTTGCTTTCGCCTTCAATCAACAGCTCAGTTTCCACCCAAATTTCCAAGGAAAGATGCTGGGAGTTATCGGCTGTTGTTAAAGCAGGTTCAGCATTCGTTGAATTTACATTCATCCGGAATTCGTAGGAAGACTTTTCATCGTGAACGTCAACGGGCTGGAGCAAGACATTGAAGTGAACGAGGTTACCTTTTGGTAAAGGATTTCCAATGTCACACTTGAGGGTATTGTTGTTGGACTGTTTCGGCGCTGAACACTGGACAGGAATCTCAGCCTTATCAATCCTCTCGATCTTGATGTAATCAACGCCCGGTGGGAGCATCAGGTTATAGGTCGCTTCGAAGGCATCTTCGTTGGCATTTTTCACCAACACATCTATCTCCAAGCGGTTACCTGACCCCAGAAGGTAACGATTAACATTAGGTGTCGCTGTCAGCTGGAGATCCGGGGTACAGATATTGTCAGCGCCACAGTTCTTGCGTATTGACACGGTGTCTTTACGAGATGACGTCGTCGCTAGAACCGGGCGCAGTGGTATGCGAGGATCACGGGGTCGCGGGTCTGTCCAACGTTCCTCGGCTAAACTCATACGCATCTCCGCGTCTAGGGAGGTTAATTTATCTCGGATGCTCGGCGTTACGTAGACCTGCAAGATTTCAGATCAGATTATTGGGACTGATTAGTTTTAATGATTAAGCAGTTTTTAGTTATTAAGATACCATCGCTGCACAGTTCATCGGTAGACGATAAATTGATATTTAATTATATAATTAATATATTTGTGGTTATAATTATAGAGGAGCGGGACAATGAACCTTGGAAGTTTTTATATTGAGAATGAAATTTGACAAAATCATGCAACGATTGAATCTTAATTAAAAAGTTATATGCACTTGGAATTTTTTTAAAATCAAATTTTTTTGTGGGAAATTTTATATTAATTGGACAAGTATTCTTAACAATACCATTTTTATTTAAAAGTGAAATTCTTTTCTGGGCAAAAATATGCAAAATTAATAAGAAAACTGGTCGTTTTTGTAAAAAAAAAAAAAAATTTTTGACGCATACACAAAAAATACATCATTATTAATGCGAAAATTTAAAATATTCAAAATTTAAAAATATTTTTCCTTCTGAAAACTAATTCAGAATTTCACACGGAAAGAAGTAAACTATAAAATTCACTCAGATTCCGGTTAATTTTTATAGTTTCAAATTGTACACTGAAAAAAAAACCAACTTGATTCAAGAGAAAAATTCTTGAACCAAGAATATAATTTTGAAAAGGGTAATTGTCTTGAATCAAGACGAAAAATTTTTGAATCAAGTAAAATTTCCTTAAATCAAGAATTTTTCTACTCAAATCAAGAATATTAAGTTCTTCAAAATTATATACTTGATTCAAGAACATTTTTTTTTCTGTGTACAGAGGACATCAGGGTCGCAAAAATATAAATATTACAGAACTTAAATTAATGTAGAAAATGTAAAAGCTACAATTTATAATTTAATATCGAAAATAAGTGATTAGTAGCTGTCACTATAGTAAAAAACGACTCTCTCATCTTAAAAAAAAATTTCAATATATACTATGAGAAGAAAGGGAACTCAGATGAGAAGAGAGTCTCACTCTGAGAGAATTTAACATTTTGAAACAGTAAAAATTCTACTTTTAAAATATACATTTTACCAGTCCAAGCAGATTAATAATTATAGTTTCATTTTTAGCGTTGCGTTTAAGTTTTACCATTTTACTTTGTAAATGTTGACGTTGCTAGTATTAGAAATTTAGTAACTTTATTTAATACTTTTTACATATTATACGATCATTTTTTAGGTACGAAATGATAAAAATCAAAGTCAAAATTCTTAATTATTATACTTTAACATTTTCAACATTCACATAGCGAATATTACTGTTTGAAATAGTATTTTCTTCCATTTCAAGGATAAATTGTAGCGTTTAAATGATAAATATTATAAAGTGAATAGTAAAATCACGATTTTACTGTTTGAAATGTTAATTTTTAACAGATGATCATTACTTATTATAAATCAACTATTATTTATTAGTTTACTTTTTTCCGTGCAGAGTTTTTTTACAAAGTAAAAAATTTTTTTTGCTTCTAGATGAAAAACTATTCGAAAATTGTATTTTTCGGTAAAAAAAAATCCGATTTCAAAATAAACTCTCAAATTTTAATCTGTTTTTCAGGAAAAAAAAAAAAAAAAAAAAAAAA